AAAATACCTTAAGACAAAAATGAAAGTGTAAGATACCAAAAATTATGGGATGCGGCAAAAGCAGTTCTAAGAAGAAAGTTTTGATAAATGCCTACCTCAAGAAAAAAGTAAAGTCTCAAATACACAAACCAACTTTACACCTCAAGGAACCAGCTAAAGAAGAACATAAAAATCCCACAGTTAGAAGGAAGGAGATAAAGATCATAGCAAAAATAAATGAAACGGAAACTAAAAAGAATAGAAAAGATCAATGAAACCAAGAGGTGATTCTTTGAAAAGATGAACAAAACTGACAGACCTTTAGCTAGACTCACAAGAAAAAAGAGGACTCCAATAAATAAAATCAGAAGTGAACACTAGATATTACAGCTGGTGCCAGAGAGATACAAAGGATCGTAAGAGACTACTGAGAACAGTTAACATTGCCAACAAACTGGACAACCTAGAAGAAATGGATAAATTTCTAGAAACATACAACTTACCAAGACTGAATCATGATGAAATAGAAAACCATAACAGATTAATTACTAGTAAGGAGATTGAATTGGTCATCAAGAAAACCTTCCTACAAACAAAAGTCTAGGACCAGTCCAGGAATATACAATGCAGAAATGACAGTCTCTTCAATAAATGGTTTTGGAAAAACTGGACCACCGGGGCTTCCCTGGTGGTGCAGTGGTTAAGAATCTGCCTTCCAACACAGTGAACACAGGATCGATCCCTCCCTGGTCAGGGAACTCTAGATCCCACATGCATGCTGCAACTAAGAGTTCACGTGCCACAACTAAGGAGCCCACTGGCTTCAACTAAGACCTGGTACAGCCAAAAAAAAACAAAAAACAAAAAACAAAACTGGACCACTGCTTCACCCCATACACAAAAATTAACTCAAAATGACATACAGACTTGAATGTAACACCTGAAACCATAAAACTCCTGGAAGAAAACATAGGCAGTAAGCTTCTTGACATCTGTCTTGGCGATGGTTTTTTGGATCTTACTACAAAGGCAAAAGCCACAAAAGCAGAAATAAACAAGTGGGCCTACAGCAAACGAAATAGCTTCTGCACAGCAAAGGAAACCATACACAAAATGAAAAGACAACCTACTGATTGGGGGAAGATATTTGCAAATCATATACCTAATAAAGTCTTAATACCCCAAGCAGGTAAAGAACTTATACAAGTCAATAGCAAAAATCCCCCCAAAAAACAAAACCACCAAGCCCAAACAATCCAATTAAAAAATGGAGGACCTTGGGACTTCCCTTGTGGCGCAGCGGTTACGAATCCACCTGCCAACGCAGGGGACATGAGTTTGATCCCTGGTCCAGGAAGATCCCACGTGCTGCAGAGCAAGTAAGCCCGTGCACCACAACTATTGAGCCTGTGTTCTAGAGCCCATGAGCCACAACTACTGAGCCCACGTGCCACAACTACTGAAGCCCATGTGCCTAGAGCCCGTGCTCTGCAGCAAGAGAAACCACGGCAATGAGAAGCTCGCGCACTGCAACGAAGAGTAGCCCCTGCTCACCACAACTAGAGAAAGCCCGTGTGCAGCAACGAAGACCCAACGCAACCAATAAATAAACAAATTTATTTTAAAAAAAAAAAGGAGGACCCGAATAGGCATTTTCCCCAAGAAGACATAGAAAAGATGCTCAATGTCAAGTCAAAACCACAATGAGATACCACCTCACACCTGTCAGAATGGCTAGTATCAAAAAGACAAGCGATAACCAGTGTTGGCGAGGATGTGGATTAGAGCAAAACCTCGTGCACTGTTGGTGGGAATGTAAGTTGGTGCAGCCACTATGGAGATTTCTCAAAAAACGAAAAATAGAACTACCATATGATCCAGGAATTCCATTTCTGGGTATTTATCTGAAGAAAACAAAACTAATTATAATAAAAGATACATGTACACCCATGTTCATAGCAAGATGTATAATAGGCAAGATACGGAAGCCACCTAAGTGCCCATCACTAGATGGATAAAGAAGAGTTGGTGCACACACAATGGAGTAATGTTTAGCCATTAAAAAAAAAAGCGTGAAATCCTGCCATCTGCCACAACATGAGTGGGCCTAGAGGGCATTATGCTAAGTGAAATAAGTCAGAGAAAGACAAGCACAGGATGAGCCGTTTTATATGTGGAATCTCTAAAGAAAAAAGCTCATTAGATAGAACAGATCGTTGGTCACAGGAGGCAGAGTGTTGGTGGGGAAGTGAGAGAACTGGGTTATGTTGGTCTGTCTGTTTAGTTTAAATGAATGGAATAAAAGTTTTAAACAGTAACTGGTAAAAATCGAAGGATGAAGCATTTTGTTTCCTCTTTATGTTTTATTTTGAATATGAAAATAATTGATGAGAAAAGAAGAATTCGGTCAATAAATTTAGCAGAAATACTAGAATTAGAGTAACAAGTAACGAAACGGTGGATCTAGACAAAGCTTTCCTCAACCAAGCTTCCAGGAGACTGCTGAGTCCTAATGCCCTGCAGTAGGGGTCAGCTAACTTTCTGTGAAGGGCCCTGGTGGCCATGCAGGGCTGTGTTATAAAACTGTGTGTGTGTGTGTGTGTGTGTGTGTGTGTGTGTGTGTGTGTGTGTGTGTTTAACAAAAGTAGTTTGCTCCCCCCTGCGTGCTAGAGTTTTTGCTCGGCCCTAAAGCATCCAGTTACATGTGTTGAGTTAACTTCTGTCCCACATATATTTACACGTAGTACTAGGTATATACCTTGGAATTATTGAGAAAACAATCACACAAATAATTTTCTCTACAGTTTACTTCTATCTTGGAACTGTGTTTGATCTTTAAGTATAGGAACTTTATAATGGAAGGATCAGGTAAACACTAATGGAATTTAACACCACAGAAGAAAAGGTAACCATATATTGTGTCTGCTGAGGTGATGAAAAAGGAAGTACAGGTATCACCTATGGAATAACATTGCCAAGAAACACACCGTTTGTCTGGTCAAAGGCCCTCAACAGAACTACCACAGCACATTAACACTGTGATGAGAATGCCACTTGCTAAATCCGGAACGTGGGAAATTCTACCAAGACAAAATGACCCAATTTCTCCACCAGATGAATTGGAAGAGGACATTGTTACACATTCCACTAAATTTAAGAGACATACCAACCAAATGCACTGTCTGGACCTTTTTGGATTTGATTTGAACAAACCAACTTAAAATTATTGAACAAGTGGGTAAGTTTGACCTTGACTCAGTATTTGATGTTAAATATTAAATAAATCATTTTATGTTCCTGAAATTCATACAGAAGAGCAGAGGGCCAAGTATAGCCAAGATAATTTTAAAAATCGATATGTTCAGGACACTCATTCTACCAGATAGCAGAATAAAAGCTGCCGTGAATGTGGGAGAGTGTTACTGGCTTGGAGATGGGTAGTGAGACCTGGCAGTGAACAGCCAGAAACAGACCTGGTTCCTCACCAGGCGCTGCCAGCACCATTGCCGCCTGATGGGCTAAAGGCCAAAAGCTTTTTGAAGAAAACATAGGTGAGGGTCTTTAAGATGCTGGGACAGAAAGAATTTAAGTAACAAAAGCATAAACTACGGGGGAAGGAGATTGATATACTCGATGACATTAATTGTTTAAAATTTACAAATGACTAAAACACCTTAAACAAAGTGAAAAGACAAATCAGGTATGGAAGAAGATAGTTTTAATAAAGACTTCTTATCCACGTTATTTAAAAGCACTTCTCCAAATCATTTAGGAATCCAACAACCCACAGGGAAAAAAGGCAAAGTATATAAGCAGGGTATTCACAGAAGAGGATAATAAACATGAAAATACGTTGTGTCATTCCAATCAGGAGAAGGCAAACAGAAACATCAGAATTCCACGTCATATGTATCAGGATAGAAAAAATGCTAAAAATGTCCCCCTCGATGTGAGAGTGAGGCAGCTCGCTTGCATCACTCGTGAAGGAGTAGCTGTGAGCCTCTAAAGGCTCCGCAGTGCACCTGGCAGGTCCCTGCTGCCGTGGACCCTGGGGGGCTCACCCGTGCTCGGGAAGGCGCCTCTCTCGAAAGGGTGGTTCTCACGATGCAAAGAATCAGAGTCCTAATGTTAAAGGTTGACAGCTTGGTATGCGGATATTCGTTAATTTGGTTATACTTTTCTTTAAGCTTGAAATCATTCTCTTTGTTAAAAAACAGTTTTGAACATCGTTCATAGCAAAGTGCCTCTGATTAATTAAAGCAGATACAGATTCTCTTACACTTAAAAGTTTATTTATAAATGAGCATGAAGTAGGAGCAGAGGGAGCTTGGTGAGAGCACGCTGTCTGCAGGTTTAGGGCTGTGTCGTGCTCCCACCGGGCACCTTCCCGGGCCTCTCTCTCCGTCGTTGGGTCTTGCCTTCTGATGGTGTTCTGCATTCCTTGCCTCTCTTCCGCCCTGCTGGCACGAGGGCCAGGCAAGCCAGCAGTGCAGTGTCAAGTATGTTTCTTGTGGCCACAGCTGGGAGCCAGAAAACGCCCTCCGTCTTCCAGCTCCTGGCCCACCCAGCTGGCTTCTTCCCTCGCTCGCAGGAGCCCTCCTCCTGCACTGGCAAGGGTGCACCAGCTGCCGTGGGTGGGGTGGCCGCCAAGCAAGGATAGCTGGTGTGAGAGCTGCGATGGGCTTGTACCGTCCTGGGTGTGTTTGGATTGAGGTCTGGTCCTAAAAAGGGGATGTTGTCTTCTTGCTGGAAAGTTAGGAAGGCCTTGGGGTTGTCAGAGAGGGTGACCCTCAGTCAGTGCTCTGCTTTTCCCTGTCCCTGTAATTCTGCTTTCCTTCTCTCTTGGTCTTCCCCGTCCCCGTCTGGGGCCGCCTTCCTCCCTCACCCCCCGACCTGAACTTGGTAGGACTAAGAGGAGGTGGGTCCACAAAGCATTGCATCTCTAGCACCATCCGAATTAGCAAAGAGAGGACTCAAAGGGAGCAGAAGTCAGCGTTTGGTGATCTGTTTCCTCCTCTCAGAACAGACGTCTGCCCCTCTGGAGCCCGACGCACCTGTGCTTTGTGTTCACGCAGATCGCGCCAAGAGAAGGAAGCTCAGGGAAGAGAGGGCCTGGCTGCTGGCTCAGGGCAAGGCGCTCCCCCCCGAGTTGTCCCACTTGGACCCTCCCTCCCCTCCGCGGGAAGAGAAGAGGACGAGAGACCCGTGAGTGTTGAGTGGCCCCAAGCCTGCCTCGTCGTGTCCTTAGAACAGCCCTCTGTGGGGGTCGTGGCCAGTGCTCGTGAGCTCCTTCCGCTGCTGTCTGACTTGCTGGGTTATTATTCTTTAGATCACAGAAGTACTTACTAGAGTAGAGTAAAACCTTGGCAAAGAGTGTGCTATTAAATCACGAACGTTACAGAATTATAAATGAGTTTCACGAAACCATCATTTTGTAGATGGAAAAGGTGGTGGTCCTGTTCGGCTGACGTATGCTGGCCCTCATCCTCGTCGCATTGTCAGGAGCGTTCTCAGTGTTACAGACTTTCCTTAACAAAGGTGTACTGGGACTGTTCCAAACCTGGGCGCAAGTGAGCTGTGTGTGAGGTTGGAGCAAGAGCTCCGAGGAGAGAAGGTGGTCTCAGCTACCGCTAATCTCTTCTTTTCTGATTTACAGCTTTGAGCTGGACGACGATTTCACTGCCATGTACAAAGGTCAGTTCCCACACTCAGCTCCCGTGTTCTGCCTAAGTGTGTTCCCACGTCGGTGTGTTAACCCAGCTCTCCTCTTTGGCCCTCAGTTCTGGACGTGGTGAAGGCTCACAAGGATTCCTGGCCCTTTTTGGAACCAGTGGATGAATCGTATGCCCCTAACTATTACCAGATTATCAAGGTAGAGGTGGCCTTGTCAGCTGTGCGCGACTGTGGTGTGTGCATCTTTAGTGGTCTGTGTTGCTGTGTGTACGTTCACCTGCTGCCCCTCAAGGGTCAGGGCTGCTGGGTGCACCCCAGGCTTCTGAGCAGCTCCTAATGCTGTGATCGCTCCGCCTCGCAGGACCTGCAGGATGCTGTGTTCTCCGGCCTGTGATAATTAACGTGTCCTGTTGTAGGTCCCCATGGATATTTCAAGCATGGAGAAGAAACTGAATGGAGGTTTATACTGTTCCAAGGAGGAGTTTGTGAATGACATGAAGACTATGTTCAGGAACTGTCGAAAATATAACGGGGAAAGTAGCGGTAAGTACAAGAGGGGTGGCTGTGGATGCACACTGGCACACCAGTAGGACCAAGAGTAACACGCCCCCTCTTTTAGAAACACACCTTCCAGAGGTTCAGACCTTCCTTGGGGACCATCAGGAGAATGTGTGTTAACGCTGTGGGATGGGCGTGCCGGGCCCTGTCCCGCCCCACCTGGCCAGAGGGGCAGCGGTGGCTGGCGGCCCGGGTCCTCGTCTTCCCCCAGGCCCGCCTGGGTCTGTTTGTCCTCGGCCCCCACCGTCAGCCACCTTTGCATCACACAGCAGACCTCTGATGACACAGCCCGTGTCGCGCCAGGTGCTGAAACTGGAGCTCACGATGCCTTCTTTTTTTTTACTAGACGGATTCAGTGATTGTACTTAATGTTTCTGCGGTTTGGCATTAAAGAATTCAATTTTTACCGGTTTGGGGTACTGGGCTCACTGTCCCAGCCACACAGGCTGGAGGCCAGAAAACCGTGTACTGGTTTCTTGTTCTGGTCTCGTGTCCGTAGCCCTACAACATAGGAAGCGCTGCAGCCCAGGCAGCCGCGCAGTCGAGCCCGGGGCTGCCCCGTTGCATGTTTGTGGGCGGAGGTCTGGGGGCCTGCCCAGCGGGGCTCAGGCCTCGGTCCCCCGCAGAGTACACCAAGATGTCGGACAACCTGGAGAGGTGCTTCCACCGCGCAATGCTGAAGCATTTTCCTGGTGAGGATGGGGACACGGACGAAGAATTCTGGGTCAGAGAGGAGGAGAAGCGGGAGAAGAGGCGTGGTCGGGCTGCACGCAGCCACGTGTGCACCCGCTCCCGGGACTCGGAGGCGCCTGGCCGGAAGCAGCAGCCTGCGGAGAACGGCGGGAAGTCGCTGCCCCCTGGGCGCCGCGCTGCATCCTCTGCGGCCGGTGAGAGCCGCGGCTCTGCGCAGCCCCCTGGCGAGGTGGGCATCCCGAGCAGCCGCAGCCTCCCTGGACCCCTGCATTACGGTGGACCCAGCCAGGCGCCCCTCGCAAGCCAGCTGGTGAGGAGCAGCTTTGTCCCATCGTGGGTTCCCCTGGTTGAGGGCTGGGGCGGGGCGTGAAGCCTTCTCAGTAGATCCTCTCCCAACATGGTGTCCTGCTTATGGGTGGTCTCTTCTCCCTGTCTGCCCTTCCTCTATCCTTCCTTTATTTTAAATCCTTCTTTTTCGAAATCATTTGAACCACACATTCTCAGCACGGGCATTATTAACCCCTTTTAAGTTCAAGGCACAGAGGTACATACAGTATGTAAGTGAACCCTTCACGAGGGGAGCAGTTGGGGAGAACACTGGCGGAGGCGGCTCTGGGGAGAGACAAGGACGGGAAGCCCCTGCTCTGGGCCCTCCTGTGGTGAGTGTGCGCACGGAGCAGGTGGCGGCCTTGTCCTCCAGCAGGACATTCGTCTTGCGGATGCGAAGGGTGTGCCTGTTCTCTTCTTCTTCTTGCCTTTGCTCCGTGCCCTCCAGAGGCCAGCAGGACAGGGAACGTTTTGTCCTCTCCGAGGGTCGGATCCTGCCACCATCCGTGTCTCCTCTGGAGCCCCAGAGCCGCACCCCGGCGGGCCTGGACAGCATCCCCAGCCTTTAGCAGTGCAGGTAAGCAAACGGCTCAGCATGCACAGGTACAAAGGTGCGTTTCAGAAATACAGTCTCTCCCCAGGTTAAATTGGACTTGTAATTTCCCATTACCTTGTGGTAAGCACATCTCTTTTCTTGTTGCCAGCCTCCAGCTGGAATTAACCATCACCGAGGCCCCCCCGACGAGAAGCCGGTGTGCGGGGGCCTAGCGCCCCTTGCTGACATGGGATCGCGTCCTGGACCCTCGCTGCTCGGGCAGATGAGCAGCCCCAGCCAGGAGGGGACTATGTATCCTCCAGCTCATTTCCAGCCAGGCTTTATCCCTCCCAGGCACGGTGGGGCTCCGGCCCGACCCCCAGCCTTTCCTGAGAGTTCAGAAATCCCTCCCAGCCACATGTACCGATCCTACAAGTACCTGAGTCGAGTACACTCTGCAGTCTGGAATGGGAATCACGGTGCTACAAATCCAGGACCCTTGGGGCCAGATGAGAAGCCCCCCATGGTGCCAGGACCCTCTCACCAGCCTCGCACTCTGGGTCACATGATAGATTCCCGAGTGATGAGAGCACCCCTCCCCCCAAACCAGTGGCCAGAACAATCAGGCTTCCTACCTCACGGAGTTCCTTCTTCGGGGTACATGCGACCACCCTGTAAACCTGGTGGACATCGGTTCCAGCCCCCTCCAGCACCAACGCAAGGTTCTCTCTTTGGAGCACCGGCCCAGGCCCTGCGGGGAATGCAGGGCGGGGACTCCATGCTGGACAGCCCAGAGATGCTCGCCATGCAGCAGCTCTCCTCGCGGGGGTGCCCGGCAGGCATGCCTTACCGCCCCCGCCAACCCGTGCCGCCCCCTGCGCCTGGCCCTTTCCCCCCAGTGGGCGTGGCGGCCCCCAAGCCTGCCTCGGGGGACCCTGGGCGGACACAGGACAGCAGGGAAACACTGGAGCCTGAGAACGGCCGAGGTAATTCTCAGGCTCACCTTCATCTGCCCTTTGGCTCTCTAAGCTGTCAATTAAGCACTCACCTTTTTTTTTTTTTTAACATCTTTATTGGAGTATAATTGCTTTACAATGGTGTGTTAGTTTCTGCTGTATAACAAAGTGAACCAGCTATACATATACATATGTCCCCATATCCCCTCCCTCTTGCATCTCCCTCCCACCCTCCCTATCCCACCCCTTTAGGGGGTCACAAAGCACCGAGCTGATCTCCCTGTGCTATGCGGCTGCTTCCGGCTGCTTCCCACTAGCTAGCTGTTTTACATTTGGTAGTGTGTATATGTCCATGCCACTTTCTCACTTCGTCCCAGCTTCCCCATCCCCCTCCCCGTGTCCTCAAGTCCATTCTCTACGTCTGCGTCTTTGTTCCTGTCCTGCCCCTACGTTCTTCAGAACCTTTTTTTTTTTTTTAAGATTCCATATATATGTGTTAGCACACAGTATTTGTTTTTCTCTTTCTGACTTACTTCACTCTGTAGGACAGACTCTAGGTCCATCCACCTCACTACAAATAACTCAATTTCGTTTCTTTTTTTGGCTGAGTAATATTCCACTGTATATATGTGCCACATCTTCTTTACCCATTCATCTGTCGATGGACGCTTAGGTTGCTTCCATGTCCTGGCTATTGTAAACAGTGCTGCAGTGAACATTATGGTACATGACTCTTTTTGAATTATGGTTTTCTCAGGGTATATGCCCGGTAGTGGGATTGCTGGGTCGTATGGTAGTTCTGTTTTTAGTTTTTTAAGAAACCTCCCTACTCTTCTCCCTAGTGGCTGTATCAGTTTACATTCCCACCAACAGTGCAGGAGGGTTCCCTTTTCATCACAACCTCTCCAGCATTTATTGTTTGTAGATTTTTTTTTTTTTTGCGGTACGTGGGCCTCTCACTGTTGTGGCCTCTCCCGTTGCGGAGCACAGGCTCCGGACGCGCAGGCTCAGCGGCCATGGCTCACGGGCCCAGCCGCTCCGCGGCATGTAGGATCTTCCCACACCGGGGCACGAACCCGTGTCCCCTGCATCGGCAGGCGGACTCTCATCCACTGCGCCACCAGGGAAGCCCTGTTTGTAGATTTTTTTGATGATGGTCATTCTGACCGGTGTGAGGTGATACCTCATTGTAGTTTTGATGTGTATTTCTCAAGTGATTAGCGATGTTGAGCACCTTTCATGTGTTGGTTGGCAGTCTGTATATCTTCTTTGGAGAAATGTCTGTTTAGGTCTTCTGCCCATTTTGGGGTTGGGTTGTTTGTTTTTTTGATATTGAGCTGCATGAGCTGCTTGTACATTTTGGAGATTAATCCTTTGTCCGTTGCTTCATTTGTAAATAGTTTCTCCTATTCTGAGGGTTGTCTTTTCGTCTTGTTTATGGTTTCCTTTGCTGTGCAAAAGCTTTGAAGTTTTATTAGGTCCCATTTGTATATTTTTGTTTTTATTTCCGTTTCTCTAGGAGGTGGGCCAAAAAGGATCTTGCTCTGATTTATGTCAGAGTGTTCTGCCTATGTTTTCCTCTAAGAGTTTTATAGTGTTTGGCCTTACATTTAAGTCTTTAATCTATTTTGAGTTTATTTTTGTGTACCGTGTTAGGGAGTGTTCTAATTTCATTCTTTCACATGTAGCTGTCCAGTTTTCCCAGCACCACTTATTGAAGAGGCTGTCTTTTAAGCATTGTATATTCTTGCCTCCTTTATCAAAGATAAGGTGACCAAATGTGCGTGGGTTTATCTCTGGGCTTTCTGTCCTTTTCCATTGACCTATATTTCTGTTTTTGTGCCAGTACCATACTGTCTTGATTACTGTAGCTATGTAGTATAGTCTGAAGTCCAGGAGCCTGATTCCTCCAGCTCCGTTTTTCTTTCACAAGATTGCTTTTGCTGTTCGGGCTCTTTTGTGCTTCCATACAAATTGTGCAATTTTTTGTTCTAGTTCTGTGAATAATGCCATTGGTAGTTTGCTAGGGATTGCATTGAATCTGTAGATTGCTTTGGGTAGTATAGTCATTTTCACAATATTGATTCTTGCAATCCAAGAACATGGTATATCTCTCCATCTGTTTGTGTCATCCGTAATTTTTGTCATAAGGTCTTTTGTCTCCTTATGTAGGTTTATTCCTAGGTATTTTATTCTTTTTTGTTGCAGTAACAAATGAAAGTGTTTCCTTAATTTCTCTGTCAGATATTTCATCATTAGTGTATAGGAGTGCAAGAGATTTCTGTGCATTAATTTTGTATCCTGCTGCTTTACCAAATTCATTGATTAGCTCTAGTAGTTTTCTGGTAGCATCTGTAGGATCTCTATCTGTAGTATCATGTCATCTGCAGACAGTGACAGTTTTACTTCTTTTCCGATTTGGGTTCCATTTATTTCTTTTTCTTCTCTGATTGTTGTGGTTAAAACTTCCAAAACTATGTTCAGTAATGGTGAGAGTGGACAACCTTGTCTTGTTCCTGATGTTAGAGGAAATGGTTTCAGTTTTTCACCATTGAGAACGATGTTGGCTGTGAGTGTGTCATATATGGCCTTTATTATGTTGAGGTAGGTTCCCTCTATGCCTACTTTCTGGAGAGTTTTTATCATAAATGGGTGTTGAATTTTGTCAAAAGCTTTTTCTGCATCTTTTTCTGATCATACGGTTTTTATCCTTCAATTTGTTAATATGGTGTATCCCACTGATTGATTTGCATATATTGAAGAATCCTTGCATTCCTGGGATAAACCCCACTTGATCATGGTGTATGATCCTTTTAATGTGCTGTTGGATTCTGTTTGCTGGTATTTTGTTGAGGACTTTTGCATCTATGTTCATCAGAGATTCTGGCCTGTAGTTTTCTTTCTTTGTGACATGTGTGTCTGGTTTTGGTATCAGGGTGATGGTGGCCTCGTAGAGTGAGTTTGGGAGTGTTCCTCCATCTGCTTATTTAGGAAGAGTTTGATAAGGATAGGTGTTAGCTCTTCTCTGAATGTTTGATAGAATTCACCTGTGAAGCCATCTGGTTCTGGGTGTTTCTTTGATGGAAGATTTTTAATCACAGTTTCAATTTCAGTGCTTGTGATTGGTCTGTTTATATTTTCTGTTTCTTCCTGGTTCAGTCTCGGAAGGTTGTGCTTTTCTAAGAATTTGTCCATTCTTCCAGGTTGTCCAGTTTATTGGCATATAGTAACTTGCAGTAATCTCTCATGATCCTTTGTATTTCTGCAGTGACAGTTGTTATTTCTCCTTTTTCATTTCTAATTCTACTGATTTGAGTCTTCTCCCTTTTTTTCTTGATGACTCTGGCTAATGGTTTATCAATTTTGTTTATCTTCTCAAAGAACCAGCTTTTAGTTTTACTGATCTTTGCTATCGTTTCCTTCATTTCTTTTTTATTTATTTCTGATCTGATTTTTATGATTTCTTTCCTTCTGCTAACTTTGGGGATTTTTTTTGTTCTTTTTTCTCTAATTGCTTTAGGTGTAAGGTTAGGTTGTTTATTTGAGATTTTTCTTGTTTCTTGAGGTAGGATTGTATTGCTATAAACTTCCCTCTTAGAACTGCTTTTGCTGCATCCCATAGGTTTTGGGTCATCGTGTTTTCATTGTCATTTGTTTGTGTTTTTTTTTTTTCTCTTTTCTTTTTGCGGTACGCGGGCCTCTCACTGCTGTGGCCTCTCCCGCTGCGGAGCACAGGCTCCGGACGCGCAGGCTCAGCGGCCATGGCTCCCGGGCCCAGCCGCTCCGCTGCATGCGGGATCCTCCCGGACCGGGGCACAAACCCGCGTCCCCTGCATCGGCAGGCGGACTCTCGCCCACTGCGCCCCCAGGGCAGCCCTGTTCCTGGGTGTCCTTTGATTTTCTCTTGATTTCGTCATTGATCTCTTGGTTATCTAGTAGCGTATCGTTTAGCCTCCGTGTGTTTGTGTTTGTATATTTTACAGATCTTTTCCTGTAATTGATATCTAGTCTCATAGCGTTGTGGTCGGAAAGGATGCTTGATACGATTTCAGTTTTCTTAAACTTGCTGAGGCTTGATTAGTGTCCGAAGATATGATCTATCCTGGAGAATGTTCCATGAGCACTTGAGAAGAAAGTGTATTCTGTTGTTTTTGGATGGAGTGTCCTATAAATAGCAATTAAGTCCATCCTGTTTAATGTGTCATTTAAAGCTTGTGTTTCCTTATTTATTTTCATTTTGGATGATCTGTCCATTGGTGAAAGTGGGGTGTTAAAGTCCCCTACTATGATTGTGTTACTGTCAGTTTCCCCTTTTATGGCTGTTAGCATTTGCCTTATGTAATGAGGTGCTCTGTGTTGGGTGCATAAAATTTACAATTGTTATATCTTCTTGGATCGATCCCTTGATCATTATGTAGTGTCCTTCTTTGTCTCTTCTAATAGTCTTTATTTTAAAGTCTCTTGTGTGTGATATGAGAATTGCTACTCCAGCTTTCTTTTGATTTCCGTCTGCATGGAATATCTTTTTCCATCCTGTGTTCTGGTGGTTGAGGGTGGATCTTGTTTTCTGGTGGGCAGGACTGCATCCGGTGGTGTGTTTTGGGGTGTCTGTGACCTTATTATGATTTTAGGCAACCTCTCTGCTAATGGGTGGGGTTGTGTTCCTGTCTTGCTAGTTGTTTGGCATAGTGTGTCCAGCACTGGAGCTATCTGGTCGTTGAGTGGAGCTGGGTCTTAGTGTTGACATGGAGATCTCTGGGAGAGCTCTCGCTGGTGGATGCTACTTGGGGCCTGGCGGTCTGGTGGTCCAGTGTCCAGAACCTGGCTCTCCCACCTCAGAGGCTCAGGCCTGACAGCTGGCCAGAGCACGAAGACCCTGTCGGCCACACGGCTTTTGGGAAGTCTGACGTCTTCTGCCAGCATTCAGTAGTTATTCTGCACAAGTTGTTCCACATGTAGATGTATTTTTTGATATATTTGTGGAGAGGAAGGTGAGCTCCATGTCTTACTCCTCTGCCATCTTGAAGGTCCTCTCTCTTCACACCTCCTGTTGCTAGAGAGGATCCCCATTTTATCTGGAAAGGACATAAATCTGGCCACCTCACTTCACGCCTAGCCCATCCACCTTTTTCCCTTTGTGCTTATTGGTCTGATTCACTTGCTCATAGCGGGCCCCATGCAGAGGCCTTGCCACCGGCCCTTCAGACCAGAGTTCCTCGTGAAATGGCTGAGCCGACACTTCAGCTCAGGACGTGCACTGAAGCTCCACACAGGACACTGAACTCAAAATGACTCACCTTTTAACACAGACTGTTGTACAAGATGTAGACTGGCCTCCAGCCTCTTTTCCTTAAATTACGCTGGGTTGAGCCAGTCCTGGTCAGAAGGATTTTTGTGATGACCATCGCTGCACAGGGGCAGTGCTTACTGTACCAGGCACTCTTTTTGAGACTTTTACCCATAATGACCCTCTGAATTCTCAGAGCAAGCCTTTGAGGGAGCTTTTATTATCATCGTCGTTTTTATAGATAGAAATTCCAAGGCACAAAGACGGTTATTTGCCTTCATCTAGTTCTGGGGACAGGGGTGGTTGGGTGGGTCCTGGGGTTTGAACCAGACGCACCGGGTCCAGCGTTCGTGTCCTCAACCCCTGCATTATCCAGCCCCACTTAAAAATTGCTGTGCTGAAAGTTACCCATGGGAAATACATTTCCAGTGTTTTACTTCACGTCCAGTCCTCTCCATTCTGCTCTCCTCGGGTGCGTATCTGTGCCGCTGGGAATGAAGAGTAGTTAGTGAGAGCAGCCAGTCTTGAAGGGGTTTCTCAGAAATGCCATTTAAGCGAGTAAACGTAAAACTGCAGGAGAAAGCTGACAGGACTGCTCTGTGTGATCAGTGCTTGTTTCCGGGATAGACATCTAGCCTGTGTTGCATGTGAGAGAGTGGGGGACACCTGGACTTGTGCAAAAGATGACGACGATTCCATGTAAAGTTGGGGGTGGACCTAGAACTCAAACTTCCACGTAGTGTTTCTTTGGAGGAAAGCCCCGTTCCGTGAACACCAGCTTTAGCAAAATTTTCCAGTAATGATTTCAGACATGTCTGGAATTCACAGCTTTGGAGGAAAAGTCCCAGGACCAAACCTTGGAGCAGTCTGTCTGTTAGTTGCCATGGATTTTTGTTTGTTTTGTTTGCGTTTTATTATCTTAATGAAGTGTAGTTGATTTACAATGTTGTATTAATTTCTGCTATACAGCAGTGATTCAGTTACACAAATAAATACATTCTTTCCCATGATGGTTTATCACAGGATATAGAATATAGTTCTCTGTGCTATACAGTAGGACCTTGCTGTTCATCTGTCCTGTATGTAATAATTTGCATCTGCTAATCCCAAACTCCCAATCCATCTATCCCCCACTTCCCCTCGCACTTGGCAGCCACATCTGTTCTCTATGTCTGTGACTCTGTTTCATAGATAACGTTATTTGTGTCATATTATAGGTTCCACGTGTAAGTGATATCATATGGTATTTGTCTTTCTCTGACTTCACTTAGTGTGACAATCTCTAGGTCCATCCATGTTGCTGCAAATGGCATTATTTCATTCTTTTTTTTACGGCCGAGTAGTATTCCATTGTGTACACATACCACATCTTCTTTAGTCATTCATCTGTCGATGGACATTTAGGTTGCTTCTGTGTCTTGGCTATTGTAAATAGTGCTGCAGCGAACATTGGGGTGCATGTGTCTTTTCGAATTATGGTTGTCTCCAGATATATGCCCAGGAGTGGGATTGCAGGATCATACGTTAACTTTATTTTTAGTTTTTTAAGGAACCTTCATACCGTTCTCCATAGTGGTTGCATCAATTTACATTCCCACCAGCAGTGTAGGAGGGTTCTCTTTTCCCCACATCCTGTCCAGCATTTATTATTGGTAGACCTCTTCAATGATGGCCATTCGGACCAGTGTGAGGTGATACCTCTTTGTAGTTTGGATTTGCATTTCTCTAATAATTAGTGATGTTGAGCATCTTTTCAGGTGCCTCTTGACCATCTGTACGTCTTCTTTGGAGAAATGTCTGTTTATGTCTTGTACCCGTTTTTTGATTGGTTTGTTTTTATGTTGAGTTGTACGAGCTGTTTGTATATTTGGAAATTGAGCCCTTGTTGGTCGCATAATTTGCAAATACTTTCTCCCAGTCCATAGGCTGTCTTTTCGTTTTGTTTATGGTTTCCTTTGCTGTACAAAAGTTTGTAAGTTTCATTAGGTCCCACTTGTTTATTTTTGTGTGTGGTGTGAGGTGTTGCCGTGTTTTATGGTGACTGAATGTTGAAAAGTGCACATTTTCATCACCATTGTATAGCTTGTACCTTTGATCTTCAAAGCCAGCATTAGTTTTATCAGGAGCCTGTGATCCTAGTTGATCTTAAAAGTCATGAATTCTTGATCTTGTCCTTAAGCTCTCACCAGAATCGTATTGTGGCCGCCTCTGGGCAACAGCTCTGCCCTACCTCAGAGATCACGATAATAAGACGTGTTTATGGCTAAACACAATAGCAAGGAAAAGAATTCTGAGTTTGTAATTAAGCAGTTGAGTCTAGTAATTCAGTTTGATTGTTTATTAAATTTCTGTAATATGCTGAAGGTGCCTTCTGAGTGTTAACACTGTCGGCATCCTGTTTTCAAGATGTCCAGACAAGACGTGTATTTTCATCCATTCAGCAAATACTGATTGAGCCCCGTTTTGTGTGAATGACTGAGTGTGTGGTGGGGAACAGAACCTAGTCCCTACTCCCTTGGGGCGGGTGTCCTGACGGCAGAGGTCGGGTTCCGGCATTCCTGGTGTCCTCATGCCGGGTCCCTCTTTCTCACTGTCAGGCCACAGCCTCCCAACCAGGCCTGCAGTTCCAGCGCCAGCGCGCCCTCCGTCCATGTTTCACATGTCCTTGGAGTTGGGCACACGGATTGCACCCCCTTGCTAGTGCGGAAGGGATCGCGAGGCCTCTGGCAGATCTTGCAGGAGCTGCAGAGCCTTAGCCCTGGTCTGGGTTGGGGGAATCAGGGTGTCGCCACCGGGGCCCCACGTCCACATTGTCTGACTGCCCATCATATGCTGAGGTTTTAGCTCCCGAGGCGCAACTTTGTCTCCGTTTTTCTTGCAGCAGATCCCTTGCCTGGGCTCGAGGAGAAAGCAGCCAGTGTTGGTGCTTTGGAGGGGGCGTTCCTCAAGCAGCTACCTCACCCCGCGCCCCCACTGCAGGCCGACTGTGCCAGGCGGAGCTCGCCCCAGGGAAGGGATTCGGATGGCCCAGAGCTCAGGCGCGAGTCCTCGGAGCCTGGAGACAGCTGCCCAGTGAGCGCGGGCAGGGGCGCCTGGCTCTCGGGGAGCGGCTTCGCAGGCGCAGCCGCCCAGGGGTGTGCCCTAGCTGACCCGGGGGCACTGCCTGAAAACGGACTGAGGGTGGAAGCCTCCCCGTGTGGGTCCGAGGGCAAGGGCAGAGCGCCACCAGAGGCCATGCCACCCGCCGAGCCCACATGCGCCCCCCTGTATGCGCCTGGCCTGGAGTACCCCAGCTCCACTGCACGGTACCACGTCGGCCCAGGCCTGCAGGCTGTGGGCCCCGTGATGGGGGGCAAGCCCTCAGCCCCGCACCCTCAGCCTTTTCCCCCTCGGGCGTTTCCGTCCCACGACCCTCATTCTGGAGTCTTCCCCCGGTACCGCCCCCACCAGGGAATGAGGTACCCCTACCAGCCGCCACCTCAGCCTTCCTACCATCATTACCCGCGGACTCCTTATTACTCGTGTCCACAGGGCTTTTCAGACTGGCAGAGACACCTCCCTGCCCCGGGAAGCCCGAGCGGGCCCCCGCCGGCTCAGCCTGCCCCTGCCAGGCCCCTCTTCCTCGATAAGAGCGTTGGGGCTGGGCTGCAGGGCTGCGAGGCACTGAGCGCTGCCTTAACTTCCCCCGCGCGGGTGGACACCGTGGTCGCCAAGACAGCTGATGGGCAGAATCCCGGCCCAGAGGAGAAGCAGGATGAGTCTATGGAGAGGCCAGAGAGTCCCAAAGAATTTTTAGATCTGGACAACCACAATGCAGCTACCAAGCGGCAGAGTTCGCTGTCAGCCAGCGAGTATCTCTACGGAACGCCCCCTGCACCGCTGAGCTCGGGGGTGGGCTTCGGTTCGTCTGCTTGCCCCCCGCACGGGGTGATGCTGCACGCGGGGCCTCCTTACCCGCCGCAGCGGCCGGCCGGGCATTTCCAGCCCAGGGCTTACTCCTCCCCCACGGCTGCTCACCCACCTCACCGCCCAGTGGTGGCCCAGCCCAATGGCCTGTCCCCCGAGTGCCCCCTCTACCGCTATCCAGAAGAGGGCCTGGGCCACTTCCAGGCTGTGATGATGGAACAGATGGGCCCTGGAAGTGGGGTGAGGGTGCCTTTCCAGGAGATGTACAGACCGTCCGGGTAAGGCTGCACAGAGTGCTGTTTTCTAGGGAAAAAAAGAGTAGATGGTAGTTTTAACAAAGAAAAACGGCCTTGGTGATGAAGGTGGTGTGCGTGGTGTGGGCGCGGGAAGAGCGTGTGGGTTGTGGGTGCCGGGGACTTACTGGGAAGGCGCTAGCTGTGGAGTCCAGTTTTGTCTGTGGTGTTTTTTTCCCTCGTGAAAGTGAATTGGCATTTAAGTGACCGTTCAGATAGATTTTGGACACCTGACGGCCAGCGTTTGGGAGCTGTAGGCAGAGGCTGTCACCTGGGTGAAGGGGTCTCAGACCTGGGGTGGGCGGTCACAGGTGGTATCCCAGGCTTACTCCTTGCCTCTCATTTCTTCCTTTAACACTGAATGAAAAAACTAGGTTTATCCAGAGCTAGGGCAAGTTACATTACTGTCCCCATGAGAATTCTGATAGACCCACCCGGGTAATCTGTCATCCAGGAAGTTTTCAAGTCAAAAGTCTTGAAAAAGCCTCACCATAAAACGAGCACCATCCACCTTAAGAACCCGAGTGTCCCTCCCAGGGCCAGCCTCAGAAGACCTTCCCGCATTTGCTTTAGGCCTCTCTGAATACCTGTTATGTTTCTTGTCTTATCTTTGTCTCTGTCCTCCTGGAGCGCAGCCCCAGGCCATTACCCCAGCAAAGGAAGTAGCGTCAGCTGGTCTGATGGAGGCCTTATTGGATTTCTTCAGTTGTCCGCAGAGTGTCCTTGTAGCTCTGCTGCTTTTTGATTTTTTTCCCCATTCAGGATCCATTCGAGGTTCATGGATCTAGTTCGGTTGCTGTGCCTGTGTAGTCTCTTAATTTACAACGTTGGCTTTGCTTTCTTTGTTTTTCAAAGTCCGGAGGCCACTTCTGCTGTCAGAGTGCCCCAGACCCTGGATTCTTCTCGTTGTTTTCTCATGTTTAGAGTCACATTGCACACCTTTGTCAGGAGTCCTGCACAGGTGGTGTCAGGCATCTCTCACCCGCCACACTTGGAAGCACCTGTGTCAGTGTGCAGTGTTGATCTCCTGGGTAGTCAAGGCAGGGTCTGTGTGAGACTTTTCACAATTAAAGGTTTTTTCCTTTGCACTGAGTCTGTCTTCGCTCATTCTTAACCGTTCCTTACTTACGTCTCTAGACTGCAGATGCACCCGGCCCAGTCCCGGCCCTCGTTCCCAAAGACGCCGGCACCAGCAGCGCCACAGGAGGGGCTGCCACCACATAAGCCCCCAACACTTCCTCTCGATCAGGTCAGAATGATGAAGTATCAGAGGTCTTCTCATTCTTCCAGGTGGCAGGAAGTAAGGACTTGAGTTTGTTGCTGTCGATGCAGAGACTGTCCCCAGAAAGGGCTTTGTGTCCTGTGGGCAGCCGGGGAGGACCCGGCCCAAGCACTCCAGCTGACGGGGCGTCGGAAGCAGCTTCCCTCCCGTACTGGCGAGTCCCTTATTCCTGTTCTTACGGCACCAGCTGTTTGGGGATTATTTAAACTCCCTTTTCCCAGACTGGCTGCCAGCATTTCTTGGATACCCTCCCTTGTCTGTTTTACCCTCCCCACCTACTTCATCTGGGAGAGGCTGGTCCACGGTGCTGGGCGCCGTGCCTTGAGCTGCCCGTGCCTGCTCTCTCTCCCCTGCCCCGACCCGGCCTCCCTGGAGGCAGGAGTCCTCGGCGCTACAGGGCTGAGCTGTGAGTCGGGCGGTCCAGGATTCAGAGCCCGCAGTCCAGCAGAACTGGCTGACAAGCCAGATCAGGCTGTTTCCCCAAACGGAGAGGAGTGCTTGAGCTTAATTGTTCTCAACAGTTAACACATGTTAATTTTGTTTAAATTGTCTTTATTTTGCTTCCCTCAGAGCTAGTCCAAGGAGGAAACAAGCCCCAGGGAAACAGAAAGCTGCATATGACGAGGGTGGAGAATGGGGAGGAGGGGGGCGCAGCCCCACCCACCTCTCCCGTCATTGGCATCACTTCGTGCGTCCCAGAGCCTGGACGCCCCTCCTCACCGACGCACCTGCTCGCGAGGTCCTGGGCGAGAGTGGAGACCAGATGGGCTGGACTCTGGTGGCTTTTCCAGACCCTGAGACTCTTGTTCAGGGAAGATCATCCTGACCTGGGGGGGCGGTGCTGGTGGGCTGTCATGGCAGCTGCACTCAGGTATACGTTTGGGGAAGGGACTACTCGTGTTGGATGTGTTTGGAGCTGGGTCCAGTTTACAGAGTTTTCATGTTGCCTTTAAGATGATTTCTGTCGTTGGTGGTGAATGTATTGTACATAAAGCCTGCAGGGCGGGTGGTGGGGATGGAGTCTGGCTGGTGGGCCTGCAGCCCTGCTGACCCTCCTCTGTTTACAGCCCTGACCCACTCACATTTGGGAGCTGGAGGAGAGGTCAGGCAAGGCCGCCGTGTTTCCTCTAACGGGCTCTTCCTGTCAGCATGAGGGGCAGCCCCCTGGCTTGGCGCCCAGGTCCTGATCCAACACAGCGGCGCCCCTCCTGGTTGGCCAGCTGCCCTGCCAGGTAGTTGTGAACCAGTATCAGGCATTTGCTCGTTAGAAGGTGAGGTGACCTGTCCCCATCACAGGCCTGCCGGGACTGTGGTCTAGAAGACGCCACAAGCTTCCTGGCACGAATCCCAGTTTGTGGCAGTGACTACTCAGGTTTGTATATGTTTAGTATCAATAAAGAAGCTGCACAGTTCTTAATAGGAAAACGTATTCTATAGATTCACAGCTTGAATTTAGGAATATTTCAGTATATATAGTTTTTATTCATTTTATGTGAATCATAGTAAAATAAGTCATGGTGATTTAAAATAGCTATCAAGAGCAAGTTCTTGAAATCACTTGTTTGTCCGTGATAGGAAACAGTTTTACAGTATTAAGTTACTTCATTACAGTTTAGAAGCCGACGACACTGGGTTCTCCCTGTTTAGCATCCTTGATTTAGCTGAGGTGCCACCAAGGTTAGGACTCGCACGTTTTAAACTGTCGAAACCCCACAAAGGGAAAAGGGAAAACACCTAAGGAGGATGCCCTCAAGGGAACAGGCTTCTGTAGAGAATAGTGTATTTTTCAAGCATGCCTTTGGGTTAGTAGAAAAGCTTCCATAGAACATTGATTGGTTGATTTGCACTTGTTTCTTATAAATTCAGCTGTGTGAGAGGCCGGGAAAACCGTGCCTCCAGTCCTAGCGTCCTTGATGAAGCTGGAATAAACCTGCGCTTTCAGTAGGAAAAGAAACAAGTTGGAAACATCCCTGTTGTCCACGTGGAACCCAGGCACCAGCTCCAAACACGTGGATGCTGACCTGCGGGGCGCACGAGGCTTGGGCAGGTTGAGCCCTGGGAACGCGGACGCCTCCCAGACACGCTGCACAGAAACACGAATTTTTCCTTACCAGACTAAAATTTGGCGTGCTTTTAGATGGAGTGAGTTTGGGGGCTGTGTTCTCATTGGATCCTGGTTCTTGTTAGAACCCTGTCACGGGCGTGATGTGGTTCAGGGTGGGGAGGTCAGCGTCGCCCCTTGGGAAGGATGGGGTAGGGTTGCGGGCAGGTCCAGGTTGGCCCCCGAGCTGTGAAGGACCGTGCCCAGGACACTGTGCTTCCCCGCGTGTCTGTGCGCCAGCTGGCAGGGGAGACCGCAGCTTTGTGTAGCTGGTCTGGGCCCAGAGCCTTCTCCCCGCCGGCCTTGAAGCTGCTTTGGGTGCGAGGCTGTGGGCACCCCTGCCTTGAGCCGAACCAGCCCGGGGCAGGGCCAGGAGGGACCACAGCGATTCCGCCCTCTCCTTCTGCCTGGGGGCCTCGCAGCCTCGGGTCGCTCTGCTCCCCCCGCCGCAGCCCCTCCCCCATCACCCGCTGCCCCAGGAGCTGTGGACAGGACAGGAGCCTCCCTTCTGGGTAAGTGGACACTGAGGGGGTGTGGAGGGAGTGGAGCCCCACGTGGATACTGTGGTGAGCTGGCTGTGTCCCTTGGCCGGTAGGGCCGTCCCCGGCCGGGCCCCTGCGCTCCTCCCAGCTGGAACGTGGCTTGGGAGGAGGTCCCAGAGGGACCTTCCCCTGGGGCTACTGCCGCCTGTCAGGGGCCAGGAGGACTTCACGTCCACCGCTGACCTTGGTTAGAAACTATCTCCCCAGGACCCAGGGAAATAAAAGATCCAGAGAGAAAAGTAGAGCCTTTGGGGAGGTGTCTGGCCTGGGGTTTTTTCCCCTCAGAGTCTGTCCATTTAAAATTAGCTCTTGGCTAAAATTTATTACAGTAAAAACATAAGACTAAGTAAGGACAGACACACAGGATCCTGTTGGTAACACTTTTCTCATCCCACCTTTTAAAAGTGGAACTAAAGCTGCTGCACCGTCTCCCTTGCAGGGGGTGGGGGTGGGGGACACACTGGCCTGTTGTCAGCAGGACGCCCTACCTGGGGCCCCGGGGGCCTCTGAACAGGAAAACTTAACATGTTGCTTGAAAGCCTTCGGCCCTCAGCCAGCCTGGCCCACAGAGCCTGGCAGCGTTCTCGTGACTGGGCTGAGACTGACTGGGCGTGAGAGGTCTGGGCTGAGACGAGACTGGGCGTCCAGGTCTCTGTCGCGCGGGTTATCTGCTGGGTCATCACTTGTCTTAGTTCCTGCCGGTCCGGGAGTGGGCTGCGTGCTGTCCAGGACAGCCAGCGTCACCTGGGCTGAGCTTTTTTCTCACTTTTTAAAGGAAGTTCCTATCTACAGCTACACACTGCTCTCAAGTCCTGGTTTGAAATTTCCCGTGAAACCCTAACCCAATCGCCCCGAGGCAGGGACCGTCACAGAACAGCGGCATCCAGGGCGTTCAGAGTCCAGCGGAAGGACTGGGATGCCCACCTCAGAAATCGGGTCGTGTGGGAGTTGGGGCGTCGGGCCGCGGCTGCTGGGGTGCGGGGTCCCCAGCCAGGGGCTGAGCCCGTGACTGGACTCTGCTGGGACACGGGCCTTCCGTGCCCTGCGTCCTCTCGCGTGAGGCTGGCCGCTCTTCATCCCCACTGCTTTGTAGGCCCTTGCCGAGCAGTCCGTCCGCGGGCTGCCTGCACACTGGTCTCTCCCTCGTTCTGCCCGCCCACTGGTCTCTCCCTCGTTCTGCCCTGGGGGCTGATGTAGAAACGCCTCAAACCAGCTAGCTGACCTGTGGTTTTGAAAAGGGTAGGTGGGTTCGGGAGTGAGTTACTGAACGCTGTCCTCCCAGCTGGGGCTCGTGCCCGGCTCCCCTGCTGCAGAAGCCCGTGGGCTTTCCTGGCCAGTACTGGAAAGGGGAATGCTATTTATTTTTATATTGTGTATATTTTGTCTGGTCTGCTGATTCCCTGTTTCACTGAGAGCCACACTTACCTCAATAGTTAGTTCTATACTGTGTGTTGGATAATTTTTTAAAAGAACTTTTTCAAAAGCTTTTTGATCCTTGGAGGTCTGTAGATTTATTTCCATATGAACTGGTTATTTTGTATAAAGTACATTCTTAAAATAGCAAGGTGATACGTGTGAGTTGTGTGTGTCCTGTGTCACTTTCATCATGGGGCAAACTCCCATCAGGACAGAGGTTTGAATTAGGCCCCAGGGCCGTCACCTAAAAAGGCAGCCCCATCTCAGCCCACATGGTCCCCGCGGGCCACGCACTGGGCGGGGACGGGGTGGGGACGGGGTGGGCCCCGCACCGGTGACGGGGACTCTGCAGAGAAGCTGAGCAGTAACAAGCTGGCTGGTGGGTCCAGGCGGCGTCTGGGGATCACACACTCTTCCCCACCAGGCCTGTGGGCCCCACCTTCTGCGCCCAGCCCGGGGCCATCCTCACCAGGCGCTTGCACAAACAGCGCTTCACCCAAACCCAGACCACCCGTCCCGTAAGGTAAGTGAAGTGTGCGCCTGCGCCTGGGCTGGAGGCTTGGAGACTAGGCGGTGCTCTCCTCCCTCCCAATTTAGTTTTCCTTCCCAGTTCCTGGGAGGGTGTTTGTTGTTGGGGGAGGGGGAGGAGAGATGAAGAGGAGCCGCCTGTTATCAGTTAGCTGGAGTCTTAGGTCACAAACATTCCTGGCCTGTTTTATCCTTGTAAGTAATACCTTTCAGTAGAAATGCTACCACAGATAGTCCCAGTTTCCAGATCTGTTCCCCCTCAGGTTTATCACTTTCTGGGCCGTGACCTTCGTGACCTTCAGTTGTTTGTTGTAACAGTATCCCCATTGATATATTGGTATATATTTTTGAGACTTCAGCCCTTGTCCTTTTTAAGAACTGTGTTCACAGTGCAGTCAGTCTCCCATACAAAACACTTATCCTATAAAACACTATGTCAATCACATTTTCTAGTTGAGTAGTTGCATTTCCATGTGTTTTTTGAAACCCCCCAAAAATGAACTTTAAAATGGAAGTTGTTAGTAAACCCCGGATTTGATGTGATGCCAGTCGGGGTGTTTGACTTGCTTGACTCTCAGTCCCTGCAGCCTGGGCGGGGCCGGGGGCAGGGGGCCAGGGCCCTGGCCTGGCCCCCTTTGCATCCTGATGTGTGGACCTGTGTGTGCTCGTATGAATACGTGCGTGTAAAGTTTGATTTCTAACTTTTGGATTCCCAACTGGAACCCCTCCTACTATGACATGAATTCCTCACCAAATGAAGGCCAGAATGTTCTGACAGTTTTAGCCAGAGATTGACTTTTTAGTAGGAACTTAGCTCTTAGCTGAATGCCTTTAGGGTGTTTCCCAGATTTATCTCCTTGGGACCAAAGCAAAGTGTCTTCCACTGGTCAACTCTGTTTCAAAACCTGGTCCATCAGATGGTGTTAATCTATCCCTGTTTACAGAATCATTGTTTGACATTTACACTTGTTAAGCCCCATGGGTACCATACCCGTGCTTACTTTAGATAGATGGGAGCGTGAAAAGAAAGCTGGTGGGGAAGATTTAGGGAAAAGGAAGGAAGCCAGCCATGAGTGATCAATGCGGGTTAGTCTCAAAATACTGACAGAACTTTCCATTTTGTTTTGTTTTTTGTTTTTTTGCGGTACACGGGCCTCTCACCGCTGCGGCCTCTCCCGCTGCGGAGCACAGGCTCCGGACGCGCAGGCTCAGCGGCCACGGCTCACGGGCCCAGCCACTCCGCGGCATGTGGGGATCCTCCCGGACCGGGGCACGAACCCACGTCCCCTGCATTGGCAGGCGGACTCTCAACCACTGTGCCACCAGGGAAGCCCGGAACTTTCCATTTTGACATTTGGAAACATCCAGAGGTCTTTTTGGACAGTAATGGCTTTTGTCTCTAAACCTATTCCTGTCATTGGGAGGGAAGATGTCTTAATTTTATAAAACAAGTGGCACCTCCAGCGTGAGATTAATCCAGGGTCGGGCCCTTGGAGGCGACCTTCACCCTGAAACTTTGTGGAGAGGACTTTGGGAGAAATGCCTCTGGGCCGAGTGTCCGGACTGAGTGTCCAGGCTGCCGCAGCCCACCCTGTCCCCTCCCCCAACTGCATCCTGGAGATCTGTCTCCTGGCCTTATGGTTTTCCTTTGGGTTTTTAAAAGGGGAACATATGTGCTCCTGTTTTTGTTCCCTTTCTGCTACCAGGGTTCACTCCTTTAGTTTCCTTAGGCAATTCTAGCAAAAATCTCGAGTGAAAGATGGACGGTGATATACTAGGCAAGGAGGCAGCTGGAAAGTCTCCCGAGTTGGCTGTTGTGTTCTGAAGCCCCACCCCCTCTGCATCCCTGATGTGGGTACCAATTCAGGTGCCTTTGAGATGTCTTCCGACTTGGAAAAGCACTGCCCGCTCCTAGCTGCTTGGGTCTGAACCTCATTCCAGACGGCAAGTGGCAGGATGGCGGAGCTGTTCTGGCCAATTAAGGCTGGCTGTTATTTTTTAGAGCCTTGCAGTTGGTTCCTTGGAGCGTGTCCACAGCTTTTGCTTTGGGGAGGAATTGAGTCGGCAGGAGGAAGGCAAGGACGTGGCCCAGCCCCAGGAACTAAGATGAAAACAGACTAACTCGCAGTCACCTTCTCAGTAAGTATTTATGAAATCCCTTCTGTGTGCCTGGCGCTCGCGTACTTACTAACAGGACAGAAGGAAAAATACGACTTCGTCTGCAGACTTCACAGTAAAGGGAGAAAAACAGGGCAGAAACGCTGCACGAGAGCAACATATGAGCAGAACGCAGTGCTGAGCTGCCATGGTGGGTCAGGAGAGACGCCGGCGCAGGGCCAGACCTTAAGGGGCAGGGTCTCAGGCCCTCTCAGGCCTGTTCCGTTCTGTCTCCTCTGAGCCCTGTTCTGGCTTGAGTCCCTCTCTCCCCTTTCACCCCGGCTCTGCTCCCGGCCAGGCTGAACTGCAGTGAAGGTGACACAGTGCAGAAAACAGCCTCTGGAAGTGATCCCCAAGGCGCAGGGGTGGAGCTGGCCTTGGGAGGAGTCCTGTGTGTCCCTTGGCCCAGGGAGGGGGCTCCAGTGTGGCTCTGGGCTGCAGCACTGCCCGGGGCTTCGTTAGAAGTGCGGATTCCGGCTTCCTGTCCCAGACCTGAGAAATCACAGCGAGCTGGGCCTCAGCCAGCACCTGTGGGCCTGAGGCAGGGTGCCGAGTGCGCGTGGCTTCAGGGCTGATGAGCCCTTCGCCGCCCCTGCATCCCCGGCCCTGCCCTCCTGACACCTGCCCCCGTTTGCCTGTCTCTGCTTCGAGTCCCACCCTTGGACTGGTGGGTGCTTTGGGGTCTAAACCCAGCAGACCTGCTGTCCAGTCCTTTCTGCCGTCCATCCGTTTACTCCCCGTGGCGTCTCCCGCCGCTGCTGTTGTGATTGATCCAACAAATTTTAGTGACCTTGTGTTCGGCCTTGCAATGCCCTAGACCAGTGGTTGCCAATCTAGGCCACCCATTAGGGGTTTAAAAACCTGGACTTAAAAAAACCAGATGCCTGGGCCCTCCCCACAGTCTTTCCCTGGTCTGGGGCGCAGCCTTGGCACCGGGGTTTCTCAGAGCTCTCCTGGTGACCTTTGTGCCGTCAGCATTGCAAACCACTCCCCACAACTTGCAGCTTCGGTGTGCACAGGAATCCTGTGAGGGCTCATTAAGATCAGACCCTGGACCCTGGGTTGGAACGTCCCGAGGTCCATGGGGCCGGACTGTCCTCGCTCCACCCCCCACCCCCCGCAAGTCCTCTGACCACACCCATCTCCTCCCCTGGGTCCCCTCCCCATAAACGTTGCCCCAGTCTCCTCTCTTTACCTTCATCCCAACTCATCCCAGCTCTTCACCTGGCATTTTTCTCCTGGCATCTGGCTCCTCCTTCCCTTCCTGGAGGTGGGGACTGAGCTGCTGCCTTGGCCACACCTACTTCACAGCCCTCTGCTCCTTCGTGGCCCCTGGCAGTGCATCAGCCCCTCCCGGAAGGGCCCAGGCCTGTCCCACTGCCGCATCTCACCCCACTCCCACCCCTTCTCCTCTGGACGCCTCCTCCAGACGACCAGACTTTTTTACCTGTAACCTCAGTTGTCACTGCAGCCGACTGGCGCTTCCATCAATTCTGAGACGCTGATCCCCTTTCCAAATTCCTGTTGGACTTTGACACCCATGTGTCCTGCTGCTGTTTGGTAATTTTTCGTTTGCCAGTGTTTTAAATTCCTCAATTAGTAAACAATTGGCAATTTTATTTCCAGACTTTATTTCCTACACCTTGTATATTGTTTATAAAACCCTTTCTCAACCATTTTACTGTAATTCACATTAATGTGGACACCTTCCTCCGCGCCCCAGTGCCCCCCATTCATGTTTAAATGTAATTTAAGACCTTCATTACTCACCTCTTGTTTTGCTTCTTATTGTAAAATACACATAAATCTTGCCATTTTCACCATTGGTAAGTGTGTGCTGCAGTTGCATTGAGGATACTCACATCATCATGCAACCACTACACCATCCAGCCCCAGAAGTTTTTTATCCCAAATTGAAACTCTGTCCCCATTAAACACTAACCCCCCCACCCTTGGTAACCACTTTTACTACTCTGTGTCTGTGATTTTGACTGATCCAGTTTCCTCGGATAAGTGGGATCATGCAGTATCTGTCCTTCTGTGTCTGGCTTATTTCACTGAGCGCAGTGCCCTCCCAGTGCATCCGTGTCATAGCAGGTGTTAGAAGCTCTGTCCTTTTCAGTCCGAGTGACACTCCACTGTGTGGATGGACGACATCGTGTATATGCGCCACCCGTCGATGGGTGTTTGGGTTGTTCCCCTTTCTGGCTACTGTGAATAATGCTGCAGTGAACGTGGTGCAGTTAATGTCCGAGGCTCTGCTTTCAAATCTGGGTGCACACCCCGGGGTGAGAGTGCTGGGTCCTAAGGTAACGCAGGTTTTAACTTCGTGTGGGGCTGCCATCCTGTTTCCCACGGATGCGGTACCACTTCACGTTCCCACCCACAGGGCGCCAGGCCCAGCCAGTAGCTCCAGCTCTGTCTGTTACACCTTAGCTGGTGTGCGATGGTGTCTCTTCTGTGGCGATGCTTTAAGTTCATGCCAACAGCCAGGCTTTTCTCTCTGCCCCCGAGTCCTCACCGCCGCAGCCCTCCTGATGCCCCTCCTGCTGGTTGGGGGTTCACACATGGCATCTGGCCATGCTGCTGCTTCACAGAAAGCATTCGCATCCCTTCCCTCCCACTGCAGGTTCTCCTGCCTCTTCCTGGATTATCGTAATGTCCTTGGCCTGTGCCCTCTGGACCCAGCTTCACACCCTGTGTCAGCATCCACTGCCACCAGGAAGGGGAGGGACAGTACCATTAAGTGGACGCCTCGTATGTGCCAGGTGCTGTGCCAGGTTCTCTACATCGGAGTATGTCTCATAGTTGAGGAAACAGGCACAGAGAAGTTAAGTAACTTGCTTAAGGTCACACAGCTAGTGAGTGGTAAATGAGATCATGCAGCTCGTAAGCAGCCTGACTGCAAAGCCTACTCTGCCCCGCTGCCCTGCGTGGTCCTCAGCAAGGCTGTGACGTGGAGACGAGACGCACTGAGTGAGATCACTTGGCTAAAGCGGGGGGTGCTGACTTGAGCAACAAGTCCCCTGCGTCCGGAGCCGCAGCCTGACCGCTCGGGAAGCTGGTCTTTAAGACCATCACATTCCTCTCTAAAGCTTTCCAGTCCCTGAGTTGGAAGAATCCTTAGGGCAGCACTGAGTTCCCAGCTCAGCTGTGATGTTCTTCAAAGTGCAGGGACCTTGCAAACCAGCCTGCAGCGCCCTCTCCCCCTAAACGGACAGAAGGTATCCGTGCGGAGAGAGCACCGGAACAGGCCTGCAGGCCGGTGCTGTTCGTCCTCCTCCCTGAACTCCAGGCCTCTGGGGAGGTGGGGCTGCCCCCCCCCCGCCCCCTGCCCCCGAGTAATAGCCTCTGGGGCTTCATTCAAGCCCGCCTGTTGGAGAAACAGGAGAGGAGATGGCTCGGGGTGAAGGGGCTGCTGTAGGCAAGTGGGGGTCTCGCAAAGCAGTCGTCCCACAGCGGGCGGGGATCTGGCCTCTGTCGAGGGAGTAGAGAGGCAGAAGCTTTGGCTGAAGGTGGGTGACTGTCCATGTCGAGCTTAGAGTGAGGAGGAGAGGAGCTGCTGCTGCCAGACAGGAGGCTGTGGCACGGCCTCGTCTCCTTTGCTGCACGGGCACCGTACGCACGTGGAAGTGCAGTGCCCTGGGGGCTGCAGCGCCAGAGCTCCAATCCTGGAGGCCTCCAGTAGGTGGTCAGGGCCTCGCATGCTTGGGGAGCCAAGGGCCGTGGGAGGGGGCACAGGATGGGGCTCGGGGCACTCCTCCAGGCCAAGCATCTGGATGGGATGCCAGCCGCGGACTGTGGTTGGAGCCCTGGGCTGGGCCTGTACCTGGGTGTCAGGTGGGCCCGCAGAGGCCAAGGTGGGAGCGGCTGAAAGGGCCGATGCGGGGAGCAGAGGCCCAAAGGACCTCCGTCCCATCAGGGGGACAGTGAGTGGGGGGCTCAAGGGTGGCACGGTGCGGGGGTGCCATAAGGTGGACCCCAGGCAGGGTCAGGGTCCTGGGAGCAGCAGGTTGGGTGCCGGGCGGAGGCCGGGAGCTGGCCTCTGGGCAGCATTTCTACCCATGAAGAGGGGCTTGTTTCCCCCCAGCCTACTGTGGACCAGTAATTTTGTGAGATACAGCAAAAATGGATTACTAGAAAAATAGAATTAAAAAAACAAAAGCGCACATCTTTGTTAGATTCTAAAACATGAAATTACTCAAGGTGCCATAATGGTTTCTCAGCACTGACCCAGTTTCTGTTTGAGTCCCCGCCCAGCATGTGCGGGGCCCTGTTTTTCGGAGGAAGCGTGAAGGCATAGACTGCTTGGCTTTGGGGACGGGAGGGAGAGGCCACCAGGGGCTGGGGGGTTGGGTGTTGAGTGGCAGGGAATGACCAGAAGGCGGGGAGGATGCTGACGGGGGAGCCGGGCAGCTCACACAGGCGGTGTGCGGAGGGAGGGGTGTTCTAGGGCACTGGGATCCAGCGACACAGGTCCCAGGAGGGTGGGGGGCCTTGCAAGTCAAAGGGGTGAAAGGTTCTCGTGAGGGAGGCGCCTGCACCCGGGCGGCCTTGTCCCTGCAGTGCACACTGAGCCCCTGGGTGCCTCAGGCCTGCTTTCTGGAAGAATTGCCCTTGCCTGGGGCCGGGGTGGGGGGGGGGCTGCTTTTGTTCTCAGCTGAGTTCCCCCTGCACACGGCAGGCACCCAACAAGCTCTGGCAGAGCGGCAGGCACTCGGGCCTCGGTCGCCCTGGGCTGAGCATCTGTGCGACGTGACTCCAGGGCAGCCTGGCTGCCGGTTTTCTTTCTGCTGACTGTTGAGAATCCACTCACCACCCACAAACCTTGCCTTCACGGCTCGAGGGCGATGCCAGGCCATAGCACCTGGCATGTGGCTGGGGCCATGGGCCCGTCGTCTGGTGGAGGGGCACCTGCAGCTCCACTGGCCCTGGGATCCGGGTGCCCTTGGTTTTTCTGGCTGCTTCTAGGTACCTCTGTTCCAGTGGGCAGTGAACCACAATTTGTAAACGAGTAATTTAGTTCCACAAACAGCAGGGGATACGGCTGCAAGATTCTCAGTTATTAGAATGTCTGGATTCCGACAGGAAGGGTTTTCCGTGCGGCCCGTCGTTTCCTGCAGCTGGAATTCAACACGTCCTCTCCACAGCTTAGCAAGCGTCTGGAAGGACAGCCAGGACACGAATCTCCTGGCCTTAGGGCTCCTAAGGCTGCAGTCTGGCGCCGGCCCCCTCCTCTCCCCAACTCCAGGCCTGGGTCTGCGGTTGGCAGATGCTCAGTCCCTTTGCTGATGTCGGGGATGATGAAGGCTCTGGGGCCGGAGCACTGCAAACCAGTGCTAATGACCTCGTTTGCTGAGGGATCCTGAGGGCAGGGATCGAGCATCCCCCCCACCAGTCTCCTCCAGCCCTGTTCCTCCCACAGACCCAGTTTCCCATGTTGCCAGGGCTCAGACCCGGTGCCTGCAGCCTCCCTGTCCCAGCTCCGACCCACGCACCCCGCCCACCTTCCCGTGCAGCCTGGATCCTCTCTGTCCGCCCTCACCTCTGACCTTCGCCATCTGCTCTCCACGCAGCGGCCGGTCGTCCCGTCATCTTGAGACTCAGCACTCTTCAGTGGACTCTTTCAGAAGAAAAGCCAAAGGCAAGAGGCCTCAGGAGGTCAGGCCTCGGCCCCGCCACCTCCGTGACTCGGTGTCCCTGCTCGCAGGGACGGCGCCTGCCCCACTGGATGCTCTTCCCGGACACCCGCAGCCCTCGCCCTCATGCCCTCTGGGGCCTCAGGTCGCCTTTTCCCCGTCCCGGAGCCTCCGCCTTCCCTGCTGCGTCCTTCTGGGCAGAGGCGGGTCACTGGCTGTCCCCCAGGATTTGCTTTGGCTACCGCCTGTCTCCTTCTTCACGTGCGGCTCCTGATAACCAGCGTTCTCGCCCGGACCTGGGGCACCCAGCGCCTAGCACTCAGTCCATTTTTCCCGAAAGGGACAATACACACCAAGAGAGATGCTGATCTCTTTTCTTCCCCAAAACAAAATCGCTGGAGACGCTTGAGCCGTGTCGGCTGCCCGGGAACGAGGACGGGCCTTCCAGATGCTGGGACTCCCAGCGCCAGCATCCTCACCCGCTTTCTTCTGACCTTTTGATCCCAAGGCCCAAGAGGTCCAGGAAGAGAGCGGACTGAGCACGTGGGCAGCTGGCACGGGTTCCCAGGCGACTGACCTCCCCCTGCTCTGGAGCCGCGGCCCTGGGAGCTTCCCGACGATCTCCGACCAGGATTTGAGGTGAACGGCTTCCCTTCCCGGTCCCAAGGAGAGCATCTGTCCCCCGGTGCCCTGGACGCCATGGAACTGGTAATTGTTGGCCCTGCATCTTCTCAGGCTGCAAAACTTAAGTCACAGTCTGTTTGTTGCCTCAGTTTCTGGCTTGTTTATCAAGGTCCACTCCTGAGAAAAACGTCCTGTTATCCTCTCTCAGGTAATCTACCTCCAAGGATCTGCCTCTGCCTGAGACAGAGGGACTCTGTGCTAGGTTCCGAGGAGCCTTGTTTTCCATTTTCAGTCTCCCAAACTCAAGGACGAGGGACCTCACGATGTATATAGTGTGACTTTCTTTCCTTTTGGCCACAATCAGATCATCTCAAGCTCTAACCCTGGTTCTCTTCCTTTATCAGAAGCGTGTGTTCTTACTGTTGATTGTGGCTCTCATTTACCAAACACATAACCTCTTTATCCTCACAAACCCTGGAGTGAGGCCAGCCTCACCTGGGGGACTGGGGGTGAGAGATCAGAGGCAGGTGACTGCTTGAAGCAAACAGCACGGCCAGGATTCACACTCAGTCCTGACCTTAAGCTGGAAATAAAACTGCTTGAAAAATCATTTGAAACTTTTACACGTGGTTCCAGGGTGGGGACCGGCCAGAGAGCCCGGAGGCAGCCCTGAAGGAGCTGAACCCCCTGGGTGCGGAGCTGGCCTCCCTCCCAGAAGCCCCCGCCCGGCCTCCTGGCTCCCCGTGGGGCTGGGGGCGGTGCTTTCGCCCTGCAGGGTTGGTCGGGCCGAGGAGAGGGGCCTCTGAACTCCTGTGGGGCAGGGGCCGAGGAGCCTCTCGTGCCCGTTCCCCGCTCCGTCCTGCCCTCCGTCCCCTGGTCCCATCCTGGCTGTGCGGCCAGCCTCCCCCACTGTGCCCACCCCCGACCCCGGGCCTAGTGTCACAGCAACGCTCATCAACGGAGGCGTGCCAGGGCTCCTGGGGGTGACCCATGTGTTTCCCATCGACTTGGCCGAGGCTCGGCTACAGAACCAGCGTGGACAGGAAATCTACAAAGGAATGGATGTTGGGGGCCAGGGGTGCGTCGGGGTGCGGGGCCCCGCAGGCCTGGGCAGGGCGAGGCGGCTGCCTGCTCACCCTGACCTTGCTGGCCTCCGCCTCCACGGCAGTGGGCTGCCGGGGAAGACAGCTCGGGGGGAGGGCTTCCTGGGCACGAACCAAAGCGGGCTCCTCAGGGCCCGGGTTGGCACAAACTTGGGGGGCTTGACCTTGCTTCTGCGAGGGGAACGGGAACACATTTGCATGTGGTGAGGCGCGGGGGCCCCGTCCTGGTACCACTGTGTGTGGCGGTGGAGGCCAGTGAGCCTCACCACCTCTGCTCCCCCCGCCCCAGAGCCGGCACAGCTGCAGAGGGAGGGGCTCCTCCCCGGCACCAGCCCCTGCTGGTCCCGCCCCCGCAGTGTCCCCAGCCAGGGCCGCACACCGTGGCTGTCGAGCCTTGCAAGATGGACACGAGGCTGGATTGAGAGGGGCTGATGCGCCAGTGGCCCTGAGCGTAAAGGCAAAGCCCTGGGACCCACACGGCTGCCAGCCCTGCCCCGCAGGACCTCGCGATCAGGCTGAATTTGGGGAACTGGTCACTTGTCGGGGGGTGGGTGGCACGAACAAGACGCAGGTGACTTGTGGGAAGTGCACGAAGGAGCCGTTGGGCACACGCAGTCCTAGCGGGGCAGCAGAAAAGAGAGGGCGTTTCTGTGAAATAGGCAGAGGAGCCCCCCGACTCCCAGGGGCCTCACTCATCCCGGAAGCTCACTGGCTGGGGGAGGGGTCCCTATGGCTGCAGACGCCCCACCCTCGCGGTTTCCTTCCAGGAGCTGCGGTGAACCTGACCGTGGTCACCCCAGAGAAGGCCATCAAGCTGGCAGCCAGTGACTTCCGGCAGCAGCTCCTGGAGGACGGGTGCATCGCGCTCTTTTCTGGAAGGTGGCGGGAGCGGGTGGCAACCACGCGTTGGCTCACCTGTCAGCAAGTGTGTAAATGTGCATAGGTGGCTGAGCGCTGGTATGGTTTGGCAGATGGAAGGTGATTTCTAACCTGGAAAGACAGGCCGTATAGGATCTATATGCTCCGTCATCAACCAGCAGACGATTTTTTTTTTTAATAAATTATTTATTTTTGGCTGCGTTGGGTCTTCGTTGTTGCACATGGGCTTTCTCTGGTTGCGGTGAGCAGGGGCTGCTCTTCGTCGCGGTGCGCGGGCTTCTCATCGCGGTGGCTTTGCAGACGAATTCCTTTTTCAGTTTTATTGAGGGCAACTGATGTTCAGCGCTGGGTACCTTTAAGGTGTTCCGCCTGACGACCTGACATCCATATACTGCAAAATGATGTTAGTTAACACCCATCCGCTCACAGAGTTAACAAAGATGTTTTTTTTAAGAGTTCTTTTATTTTCTAAAATATTTATTTGCGCTGGGTCTTAGTTGTGGCACGCCGGCTCCTTAGTTGTAGCTTGCATGTGGGCTCTAGTTCCCTGAGCAGGGATCAAACCTGGGCCCCCTGCATTGGCAGCACAGAGTCTTAACCATTGGACCACCAGGGAAGTACCCTTCTGTTTTTTACAAAGATGTGTTTCTTGTGATGAGAACTCCTGGGATCTGCTCTCTTGGCAAACCCTCACATACACAGCGGTGTCGTTAACTCCAGTCACCATACTGTGCATCATGTCCCCAGGACGCACTGACCTTGTAACTGCAGCTCTGCACCGTTTCACCCCGTTCACTCAGTCCCCATCTTCTGCCTCTGGGAACCGCAAATCCAAACTCTTCTTCTATGAGTTTGCATTTTTATAGATTCCACGCATGAGTGAGATCATACAGTATTTGTCTCTTTCTGTGTGATTTATCTCACTTAGTGTAATGCCCTCAGGGTCCATCCAAGTTGTTGCACATGACAAGAATTCCTTCTTTTTTTTAAATGGCTGAGTAGTATTCCATTGTATGTAATAAATAAATAGATATACACCTCGTCTTCTTTATTCATTCGTCCATCCATGGACACTTTGGTTGTTGCCATGTCTTGGCTACTGTAAATAATGCTGCTATGAACGCAGGGGTGCATAAGTCTTTTTGAATTACTGTTTTTGTTTTCTTTGGGAAAATACCCAACTTAAACTCCCACCAGCAGTGCATGAGGGCTCCCTCTTCTCCATGTCCTCACCAACTTTTGGTATTTGTTGTCTTTGGTGATGGCCAGTCTACTTGGTGTGAGGTGATAGCTGAGAGGTTTTGATTTGCATTTCCCTGATGATTAATTACACTGAGCATTTTTTCACGTATCTGTTGGCCATTTGAATATCTTCTTCAGAAAATGTCCATTCAGGTCCTTTGCCCATTTTTAAATTGGATTATTTGGGATTTTTTTTTGCTATTGAGTTGTATGAGTTCTCTGTATGTTTTGGATATTAGCCCCTTATCAGGTATATTTTTGCAATTATTTTCCCCCATTCAGTAGGCTGCCTTTTCATTTTGTTGATGGTTTCCTTTGCTGTGAAGAAGCTTTTTAGTTTATTTTTGCTTTTCTTGCTTGTGCTTTAGGTGACCGATGTCAAGGAACTTCTCCCGCTGTTGGGAGTTTAATGATCTCAGGTCTCACATGTAAGTCCTTAATCCACTTTGATAGTTTCGTGAGTGGTATAAGATAGAGGTCTAGTTCCGTTCTTTTCCATGTGAATATCCAGTTTTCCCAGCACTGTTCCTTGAAGAGGCTGTCACTTCTCCATCGAGTATCCCTGGCTTCCCTGGCGAACATTAGGTGACCATCTATGCAGGAGTTTATTTTCCCAGCACCGTTCCTTGAAGAGGCTGTCACTTCTCCATCGAGTATCCCTGGCTTCCCTGGCGAACATTAGGTGACTGTCTATGCAGGAGTTCATTTCTGGGCTCTGGATTCTGGTCCATCTTTCTGTGTCTGTTTTTATGCTGATGAATTGAAACAGATCAACTGCAGACACTTTGTAGTTCTCTCTGTGCTTCCCGTTGCCCCAGTGACAGTTGTTGGGGGATCAGGAAGGAAGCAGTCCTGCAATGGGTTGTTTCATGGTCCTGGTCTCAGCCTCCCTGGCAGCCTGTTTTAAATTTAGTCTCTTGTCATTAAGGAGACTGAGCTTGACTACTTACCCAGTGGGGTGAGTGGCAGCCAGCCCAGGGGGACTAAATACCTAGGGGAGGGTAGACGGGCCAGGGTGGGGCAGCAGGGCTGCCTGTGGCCGAGGGAGCCTGACTCCGGCCCACAGGGCACAGCGGAATCTGAAGCTGGTGATGCTCGCCGGGTGTGGAGCTGGGCTGTGCCAGGCGGTGGTCACCTGTCCCCTGGAAATGCTCAAGATTCAGCTGCAGCGTGCTGGGCGCCTGGGTGAGGCCTCTCCCACCTTCGCGCAGGATCGATAAGGGGCTGTCAGAACAGATTTCCCCACGTTCTCACTCATCCGCCAGACTGTGACCCAGTCAGCGCTCCAGGTCAGTAGAAGTCTTTATTTTGTGGATTTCAACACCTCCAGCTGTAGGACAAACAGCAGGGATGAGACTCAGTTCTGGAGGGGGAGAGAATGTTTCCCTGTTACCTCTGTCCTGCTGCCTTAACATGTAGGCCCGATTTCCTAAAGATTTTAAGCAACGTCAGTGGCCTGCTCATGCACACTTCAGTGTTGCTATGGAAGCTGGCCTTCCGTGGGACGGCAGTGAAAGGGAGAAGAGGGCCATTCCTATTCTTTTGCTTTTCTCTGGAAAAGGCGTTTGGCCCTTTCCTAAATCTGGGTCCTCTCAAAGACACACTGGTCAGGTATCAAAGCATCTATCGAGGACAGGGGTGTGTCCCATGAAAGGAGGCCAGCGGGGGGCACAGACGGTGTCTCCCCAGGGCGAGGCGTGTCAGCCACGGGACTGACACAGCACCGGTGAGGCCTTGGGTGTGCGTCTCCCCTCCAACCAGCTGGCCACACATGCTGAGCTGGCATTTAGCCAGGTTTCCAGGCTGGATCAGACCAGCCTGAAGCAAACAACTGCGGAGAGAGTGAAGTCCAGACACTGGAAGCCCCTGCTGTGTTTTGATCTGCAAAGGGTAAGGTTCTGTCACGTCTCGTTTTTCAACCTGGACGAGAAGTCTTAGTTCTCCTCCAACACTCAAAAAGAAGTAAAACTCAGGATATGGATGGATGGGTAAATTATGTACACCTAAGGCAGACCATGCGGAAAATAATGTTCACTGATTGACCACCTTCTTAAAGCTACTCGTTTGAGACCTGTGCCTAGATTTCTACCCTATGAAATATGGTAAAAGGGGCAGCAAGTACCTTCTTAGTATGCATTGTTTCTCTGCTGGATACCAGTCAAAATTGAGGCAAGAAGTAGCTTCCTTTTAGGGCTTAAAATCTAGGCCAAGTGTCTCAAACACTGAGAATTTAAAAAATTAATATTCACACAACTTCAGTGCATCGAATGCTGTGGTCATTAATGAGACTCACCCACATTCAACACGCTTGCATCAATAACCAATTTTCAGGGGAAAAACTCGGTTCTGTTTATTAGATGCTTAACTCATCAGATCATGTGCTCTGAATTACTCCACTAAAAAGGGTTGACGTCTGAAGAACCTAATTCCATAAAATGGGACATGTTCCCCTAGTCTTGGAATTCTAGAGAAAGGAGGCGCCCCTTAAGTAAGTCTGAAGGGCAGTTTTTGAACAAAGATAATTTGCTGGTCTACAAATTACGCAGAAGATATACGGGGATTCCTGTGTCCCAAAGTACGAGTCCCGTGAAACTCTGCAGGTAAGTTGAGAGATGGTTGAGGAACGGAAGGAGGATCAAAAGCACAGTTTTAACAGGAGGATAAGGAAGTGGCGGAGGAGGGGGTCCTACCACAGTTTCCTATAAAGAAAGCCGGGCAGGCAGTGGCCGTGCCCTTGGGAAGCAGCCTAAGCAGCAGGGACATCCTATTAATTAGATAATATAGACCCGAGAGAGAGCTCCCTGGAGCCAAGAACTGATGTCCTCACCTTAGGACAACCCTCAGCTCTAGGAAGGGCGGGGCCCGAGGGGCTGCCTTCCCTCCCCGCAGCCCGCGGCCAGGGTTCCGCTGCCAGCCCTGCCCCGCGGGGCCCCCTTTCCCCCAGCAGGCGCCCGGCCGCGGCCCTCATCGCCAGCGAGCTGCTCCGCACCCAGGGCCTGGTGGGGCTCTACTGGGGGCTGAGAGCCGCCCTCCTCAGGTGAGGCCTCTCCCCAAGCTGGACACAGAAGGGCCCCAGGGAACAGGGAGAGGAACCCAAGGCCAGAGGGACGGCTCCCCAAGGGGCCTCTGTGCTCTTCTAGGATGTTCAAACTCAGGATGGCAGAACCGGGCAGGGCTGCAGGGTCGGGCCTGGGAGAGTAGTCCAGGCCCTTCTGCGGGGACCGGGCCCACATGACTGTCAGGTGCTCTGGGGCCCGGGAAGGAAGGGAACACCTGTGTGCGGACAGTCTTAAGGGGCTGGGAGGGCGCCTCTAGGTGAGGCTTTGGTAGAAAGTGGCAGATGCGCCTGAGGGACACAGAGAGGGTTCGTGGTTTCAACTGCTGATGGCTGTCAACCCGCAAATGCTCCAGGGGTTTGGAAAATGCTTCCTCTTTCCAGATTCCCGAGAACTTCACCCTCTCAAACCACAACCTGCAGCGAGCACCTTGTGTAATAAATCAGTGACATCCACGTACGTGTTACATTTTAATAAATAAAGCATATTCACGGCTTAGATCTTAAATCACATTTATAGACATTTCTAGGCCCAAACAGGTTAACAGTGAAGCTGCTGCTGCTGGAAGAAATGAGGCCCCACATGCACTTGAAGCCCAAAGAGTGGAGACCTGACCCCAGAGCCCACCACTCCGCCCCCCCCGAGGCTGGACCCCAGGAGAGCAGGAGGCCTGGGGACACTCATGCACCCACCACCTGACCCCTCGCCTCTGTGCTGCAGAACAGCGGGAAGTTGTGTTACTTTGAGACAAGCTAGAGGAAGGTTTCCTGGTCGTACTAAGTGAGACTCTCGCCCGTTGGTCCCCACCAGCCGGGGTGTTAGCTACAGCAGGGCTTCCACCGATAGATGCAGGACAGGACAGGAGGACAGCAAAGAGGAAGCTACGCAGGCCATCTTGTCTCTTCAACTGTCAGAAACGTCCACGTCACGCAGTGGGTGGACGCCACCTCCCTCAGGCTTAGTCCAAAAACTTCCTGTTGGCATTTGCCCCAAACAAGGCTCCCCGCACTTCGGGCATCATCTGTGAAGAAAGAAGCTCCCGCGTGAGGCGGCGCCGTCCCCCGCGCCTCAACCCCGCCCCGAAGTCACGAAGCCCAGTAGTTGGCCAAGCACCGCCCGAGTCCGACCAAGAGACTCGGCGATCGCAAACGTGGGCTTAAGGCCACTGCTTAGGGGGAAAGAGAACCAATGACGGGCGCCATGGCCGTAAGGCTTCCCTCCCACTCCGATATGGGGAGAAGAGGCGACGTTCTGGAGCACCTACACTCGTTCCTTCAACGGGTGCTGAGCGCACGCCGGGTGGAAAGCTGACAGCACAGGTCTGTGCTGAGACGCGCCGCAGCAACTGGAAAAGCCCAAGCACTCAACCTCGGGACGCAGCCACCAGCCACGTGCGGCCAGTGCAACTGAGGCGGCAAACTGCGCACCTTACCTAGCTTTAGTTAATTAGCCACGTGTGGCTGGTGGGTAGCATGGCTCTGAGGTGTAAGTTACCAGAAGACGCCGGTCAAGGTCGGGGCAGCAGACCACACCTCTGGAAGAGGCCCCGCACTCGGGACAACTCAAGTTTTCTGGCTGGTTTCCTGCAAACCCGGAAACACCTGAAGAGCCTGGCGCCCTGTGGCAATTCCTTTAAGAGCAGTTGCTTGACTTTCCATCATTCCTGCTGCGGTTTGGGGTTCTGGGGCTTTGGGTCAGCATCTCCACATGCAGTAAAATAGATACATTAAAATCCTAGACACAGGGCTTCCCTGGTGGCGCAGTGGTTGAGAGTCCGCCTGCCGATGCAGGAGACACGGGTTCGTGCCCCGGTCCGGGAAGATCCCACATGCCGCGGAGCGGCTTGGCCCGTGAGCCATGGCCGCTGAGCCTGCGCGTCCGGAGCCTGTGCTCCGCAACGGGAGAGGCCACAACAGTGAGAGGCCCGCGTACCGCAAAAAAAAAAAAAAAAAAAAAAAAAAAACCTAGACACACAAAGCCCTCGTTCTGACCCCAAGGCCACCCTCATGTAAACATATCCTCCCAGCAAATGGCACTAAATGCCTGAATCCCTGCTCCTTTTAAGAAAATGTCAAAAAACGTAGAAAGAATCAATGAAGTCCAAATACGGCCAATTGACATGTTCTCCGCAGCACCTCCTCAAGGTAACCACAGGCCAACTAACTGATGAGACATGTCCCCACACTCACCTGCTGGGCTATGAGGTCCAGCCGGCTTTCGAGGGTATTGGAGACCTTGATTTTGCGATCCCCGTTGTAGATCTCAACCCCGCCAGCTCTACAAAGAACACCGGAAACAACGTTCATAGATTTGAGGGAAACAGACACACGTTGTACAATTACCTTCTTCCCTTGGAGAATAGCTGTCTTGGTGTGTGGACGGTCTCAACACTCTTAGGGGCAATAAACATATGCAATAAGTTTGAAACTAATTCAGAAGCTTCTGAAGCTTCAAGGTAAAGAGGCTGATAATAACTCATTACCAAGCGACTATGTGCCAATCTGATTTCACGTTACTCTAACAACCAGCCCTCCCCAACTGGACGAAAAGGGGGAAGACTGCGTCCCAGTTTGCAGATCAATACATACAGTCCTCATCTGAATGCTTCTTAAAGGCCAGTGCTGCAGGGACCAGGGGTGCTGACAGGCAGTCCTCCTCAGTGCCTGTGTCTCAGATAAAAGGCTCCATCCCAGCAGGTGCCAAACCCAGTCCTCAGTGGTGCAAGGCCGATAGGTCACATCCTACTACAAGGAGCCTCAGGTATGAAATTATTTTGCTACATTACAATTCTACTTTTTACAAAATATTTCTTGAAATAAGCAGGCTCTGAGGCAAAGGCTGGGAAAAATTTTGCAAATTTTCTCTAGAAAATTTCAAAGGGCTCTGACGTGAATATTATTTTCTTACTCCATCCTCCTCCCCCATTTCCTCTTTGTTTCTCTGAACAGCCCCTGTCCCCACGCGGGCAGCAGGGGAAGGGGGGTGTCTGCTGTGCACCAGGCACTCCTGAACGGCAAGTCCAGGCCCTTCCGTGTCTCCTATTCCCCAGGGACCTATAAAGCAGGAAACAGGCTTAAGAGTGGATAAAAGGACCAATTTACTGAATAAAACTCCAGTTTAAATCTGCAGAGTCCTTCACCTGCAATTCTGAATCTCAAAGGCTCTGAAAACAAAACCATCTAATTCAAGTGGCTCCAGGGCCTGAACCGGGCTCCAGTGACCTGTCAGCGAACGGCTGGTGTCCCTGCGTAAGTACCCCTCGGGTGTGAGCGCTCCTGCTTCCGTTCAAACACGTAGGGCACGCACGGGACTGCTGCTCTAAGCACCCGGCACCGTGGTCCCGACTGGAACTGCCGAGTCCCGCATGGTCTCCACACACCGACTACCCACCAGCAGAGTCACTGTGGATCCTGAGCCCTGCTGTCAGTGCTGCACAGACACGACCCCACTTCAGCTTCCAAGAGCTCAGTGAGGCGGGTGCTGTTATCCCAGGTCAGAGATGAGGAAGACTAAGTAACTAGTCCAGCCCTACCTGGCCAACAACACCTGGCAGAGTGGAGAAGCAGACCTCGATCTGACAGTAATGCTCAATAATGCTTAGGCTCTCACAGGCCCTCAGCTTGAAAGCACCGTCACACACACACCCTATCTCTGATCCTCAGTTTATGAAGCAAGCAAGATTGATCCCTCTTACAGATGATGGGATTTGGGCTCGAGGTCCTGCAGCGAGCAACAGGCCAATCGGGACTCAGAACTAGGCCTTGCAATCCTAAATTCATGTGTCCCAAGGCCTCCACAATGCTGGCCCGTGGGGTGGACCAGTGGGCAGGCGCACAGGGAACATGCCCCGGGCTCTCCCCGGCCAGGAGCTCCTACCGCCCCTCCCAACCACGCCGAGTCTCCCCGCACTCAGCAGAAGCACCACGGGTGGTGGCGTTCCACACCAAGGGATCTGCCAGCCAGACATGGCTACTTCCTTGTCAGAGGGAGTGATCACCTTTCTCAGTACCTAGGACACACGTGGACCCACGTTCAAGTTCTGGGTACAGAATCCATGCTGCTGCTAGGCAAGCTGAGCCACAAGAAGCTGGTTAACAAGGGGGAGACCGACAGGCGCCAGCACGAGGCAGCACGAGGCACGCGTTGGGTGGCCACACCGCCATCCTGCCCGGGGCGCCCAGAGGACATGCGCAAGGCCGGGCGGACGGCCGTTCGCGCGGCCAGAGCAGCCCAGGGGCTAAAAGCAGAGGCGCCCCTTACACTTCCTCAGGCAGGCAGGCCTCCTGGTCAATGTGGACATCAGCGTCTCTTTTGGTGGCGATTTTGTACACGGGGATTGCTTTCTGCACCGCAGCCTGGAAAAACACAAAACACAGAGGTTTTATCAGAAACTACGGAGCAGGTATCCAGAAAACCAACAGTCTGTACAAACAAAGATATTCCTACGCATTTCAATTTTCATTTTTAAAAGAACAGACGTGTTGCTGGTGGGAATGTAAAACGGTACAGCCGCTGTGGCAGATGGTATCGTAGTCCCTCGAAAATCAAACACAGAATCACCTCAGGATCCAGCAAGTCTACCTCTGGATACTTATCCAAGTGAAGTACAAGCACAGACCCAACAGATATTTGTACACCCGTGTTCACAGCAGCACTGCTCACAATACTCAAAAGGTAGAGACGACCCAGGTGTCTATTAACACATAAATGAATCAATAAAATGTGGTCTATAGATATAATTCAGCCTTAAAGAAAGAAATCCTGACACACGCTACAAGGTGAATGAACCCTGAAGACATTACTGCCAAGTGAAATAAGCTCGTCACAAAAGCACGGATACTGTCTGAGCCCCAATGTATGTGTCAATCTGTTCAACTAGTAATCGTGTCAGAAAAAGACTAAAGTTCCTTCAAGAAAACATTCTCACGTGTCTCCTGAAGCCTACAGTGCTGTCCGAAGATGGGACTTCCACGCCACACACAGTGCAGTGCAGCGTGAGAAACCCCCTTCCATCTGTCCTACACCTCCACTTCCCCCAGCTTACTGCTTTTTAAAACTGCGGTAAAATGCACATGAAATTTACCATCGTGATCAGCTTTAAGTGTACAGTTCTGTGGCTTTAAGTACGTTCATTGTTGTGCAACTGTTCCCACCATCCCTCTCCAGAACGTTCCACCTTCTCAAGCTGAAACTCTGTCTCCATTAAACATGGTCTCCACCTGCCCCCCCCCCCCCCCCCCACCCCCAACCTCCTCCCCCCTCACCCCCGGCCCCTGCCCCACCCCCCCACCCCCCCCCCCCCCCGTCTCTTATTTAGATGGTATTGCCTATCCTCTGCTCCAATCCAGTAGGTACTGTTTTCTCCAGAAAGGGAGGAGGGTACTAACTCAGATGGCAACTTGATTTGTTTAAGAAAATAAATAAGAGGCTCAGGTACACTTAAGTTAGTATCTATAACACGTTAAGACTCTTCTAGTCCCCATAGTTGAGCTGTCATTTATTACAGCATGCATTTCATCCCTAACATTTTGATCTTTAAAAAGAAAAAGGATTTCTTCAAGCTCTACCTTCACCAGAGGGAAATCCTGTTTCCTGCAACGAATGATCATTCGGGGCTCCAACAACTGGTACAAACCCTATTAACGCACAATCAGATACAATTAGTAAAAACTGCAAACTATAAAATAAAACAACAGTAAATAAAATGTCTTCATAACTCTTTCATCTAGTTTGGGAAAGCAGTCCTCTTGTTTAATTAAGTTCCCCCAAAGATGGCCTACATAGTATGAGAACATGGCAAGATCTTCGTATCACAAACCAGATAAATATACCCAATGCTCTGGTGATGGAATGAAATTCATACGGGAGTCTTACATCAACTAGGTTGAGGACAAGTATTGTACTTAACAGCCGAACAGCAAACAGTTAAAAGGCACAGCCTGGGGTCTGAGCCTCAGTATGGAAAGCAAGCATCTAGGGGTAAAATTTCATCAGGAAAGTTCACAGCTGGAGGCCACAAAGGGCAAGTGAGACAACAAGTCTCATCCACCAGCCAGACAGCACCGTCCTCCCACACATCTCCCGGCCAGACGAGGAAAAGAGCTAAAATGAGAACACAGGAGAAACAGCCGGCTTCTATCCCATCTTGTCGACTCTGCAGGGACGTGGCTCTCAGTGGTGCATCCGACCTACAAACTTACCTGGAGGACCAGTCCATCCAGCAGCACCTGGTACCTGGTCGTATCTTTTACCACTTTGCTGAGCCTCTGTTTGGCTTCATTTAGTAGGTCCTACAAAGAGTGGAAAAAGAAAAAGTTATCTACACACCTGGGTAGTCAGCTTGGAACCCACGTGGGGCTGGCCCAGCCCGTGTCCAATCACTTCTCACTTTACGGCCGTGTCTTCTCTCCACACGCGCTCTCTGAGGGGTACGATAAAGCAGATGCTGCCCGAAGGACACAGATGCGAGCGAGAGCGCTACCGCGGCTCCCAGGGGACTCGCGCTCAGGCAGAAGCGCCCAGGTTACCGATCATGAGTGACCAACACAGAAAGAGCCACGTGACACAGCCGTGGAAAGCAAGCTACTGAGGCAGCTGGGCAAGATGCTTCCATTTTTTATTAGAAAAAGCAGCCTCTGCACAGAGAACAAAGTGTCATCAATGTTTACCTGCGGGAGGCTGGACTATCAATGATTTCAATTTTCTTTATGTTAGTTTGTATTTTCCAATGGTCTATAATAAATGCTGGCTTGTATAACTAAAGCAGACATTGAAAGGGACTCCGGAGACAAATCTCACATGGTTGAGAAGAGCACGCTGGCATCTACTCGTAAGTGGTAAGCACGTACAGGCTTACTGGTAAAAGAGGACCGAGGTCCTTTAAATGGCAGAGAGAGCGCCTCTCAATCCCACTGCTGGCCACCCAACACCGCTGAGAACAGTTCGTCCTAGTAAATCTTCCACATACGTGTCTCCCTTATTGAATATGATCTCTGGAATGATTTGGGGGATTTAAAGAGGGAGAACATACATGCTCGCTCAGAAACCAATCAGAATTTGAGCAGTGAGGGTGGAGAGAAGGAAGTGGTCCTGTATTTGGTTCTGAGTCTCCCTTGGACCCGCACCCAGCCCGGAACGACTCCCGAGCAGTTGAAGCCTTTAGAATCTAGGACGCTACGGCACAAAGATTTGAAGCATTTATGATATAAGATATCTGGCTGAAAGAAACCTCAGCCCCTCCTCACCAAGAGACCCCTCAAGCACAGTTCTCTTTGTGCTGGAACTGACTGTCCACACTGGTCATGCCGGTAGGGGTGGACATGAACAGTACGGAGACAGGTTTATTCTACAAGAGTGAGCATCAAGTGGAGCTGTAACGAGTGATGCCAGCCACTGGTAAAAATAACCCACGAGAAGTCTGGAAATGGACAAATGAGGACTCTTACCACCACCCAGAACTCCAATCAAGGGAGTAGGAACTTGGAATAAACTGAACTCCAGCCAAGGAAGCTGGAACCGAATCGACATAAACTGCACTGTCCCTTGTCTAAACCATTCCTGTCCACTTAAGAGACATGCCCCACAGGTCAGGAAGGTCACTTAAGTAATGCCCCAGTGACACTCTTTGATTCTAAACTCAGCTTTCTGGCTGTAGTCTGACTCCCCGTGGGGAGGGGTGTAGGTTACTGCCGCTCACGTGTTAGCCTACAGATCAGTGTTTTGAGAGTTTGGAAGGGCATTTCGTTATCTGTCCACCTGCACCTAACTGCCTCTAGGATCCTGAAAATATTAGATTCTGCTCCTGGAAAGCAAGAAACTAAAGCCCGATTATGACGACGACATCAAAATCGCGCCTCCTTGCTCGTGCCCGGTGTAGAGTCGGGGCCTCCCCGGTGTAGAGTCGGGGCCTCCCCGGTGTAGAGTCGGGGCCTCCCCGGTGTAGAGTCGGGGCCTCCCGCAGAGACGCTTCTGTTTCGTCCCTTTAACTGCAGCACCAGAAATCTCTACCTCAGGACCAGCAAATCAGAATTTCTAAAGGTCGGTCTGTTCTTTATCTCCCTTAAATGACAACAACAACACCTTACACAGTGTGAGGTTTAGGAAGTGACGGTAAAGAGCTGTTACTTACCCCAGGCCTGTCCTGTGTGAGGCACTTTTCCTATGTGGACCAACTTAATTCTAAAGAAGCTTCACGTATATGCTTTCCCCATTTTATAAAAGGAAGGTTCCAAAGGGTTAAAAAATTCACCCACCGGAACTTCCCTGGCGGTCCAGTGATAAAGAATCAGCCTTCCAATGCAGGGGACACGGGTTCGATCCCCGGTCTGGGAACTGAGATCCCACATGCCGCAGGGCAACTAAGCCCACGCTCTCTAGAGCCCATGCACCACAACTGGAGTGCCCACACGCTGCAACTAGAGAACCCATGTGCTCCCCGGTCTGGGAGGATCCCACATGCCGCGGAGCGGCTGGGCCTGTGAGCCATGGCCGCTGAGCCTGCGTGTCCGGAGCCTGTGCTCCGCAACGGGAGAGGCCACAGCAGTGAGAGGCCCGCGTACCACAAAAAAAAAAAAAAAAAAAAAAAAGATCCGATGCAGCCAAATAAATAAATGAAGAAATACTAGGAAAAAAAAAATTCGCCCACCAAACAGCAGATTGTGGTGAAATAGAAACACACCTCACAGGGATTCCAAAGCATGGGCTCTTACACCTGGAGAGCCTCAGGGCAGGCAGGGGAAAAGGGTAGACAGCAGAGAAAAGTAACTAAAGGACTATAGGCAACCGTGCACTTCTGGAAGCAGAATAGCTTGCCTGTTTGCTTTTCATTTTCATCCTGGTTCTGTATTTCCTCCTTCCTTCTATCTTTTGTCAACATCCTTTTCTAGCCAACTGCTTGACAAATCCCCTTCCTTTCATAGTTTCTTATTCTACGGATAAAGCTGGAGAAATAAACGTTTTAAAAGAGCCAAATCCACAGAAACATACACATGTAGCCCTGTCCCCCATCATCTCACAGCCGGTTTCCTCACCCTCTGTGCCGCTTCATTACTGGGGTTCACTAAACCGCAAATCACCTGACGGCAAGATGTTAGGCTGCAAAGGACTAAGGAAAGAAGCGCTTTAGAACAACTGAAATTATAGAAATGTTTATTTTAACAAAATTCTCATTATACATTAGCAAAACAAAAGCTCAGGCTGTGCTCTGAAACCGAGTTGCACGCTACAGAATAACTGGCTTTGCCGTCTACCAAAACACGGACAGTTCAACAAAATGAGAAAAAATAAAAGAAAAACAAGAAACCCCGACAGTTCACACGCCCGCTGCCTTCAGCCCCTCACCGCATGCTCGCCTGTCCAGCTTTCACCACCAGGCTTTGTCTCTACCAGCCCAACGATGCTGCTCTAGTACGAGTCAGAAGTGAAACCTCGATCCCCAACTCCAAAGACCACTGCGCTCTTCCCCCTTGGACTCGCCGAAGCATGAGACACTGTATTCGATTACCATTTTGTTCTTCCACTTTTCTGTCCCCTTGGCTTCTCCTTCACGACTTCTCCTCCAACACGACTGCTTCCCCCCATGTTCCTTAGCAGTCTCTAATTTTCCTGCCGTAAGCTGAAGGCTGCTCGGTTTGCTCCCCTGGCCCTGTAGTTCTACATCCACAAGCTTGCGATCTCACCCATGCCACGCAGCTCCACGTGGGACCTGTGTGCTGTCTGAGTGGAAGCCCCAGCCTCTCCTAAGTTCGCCTGGACTCCGAAGGCGATTCAAATGCCAAGATTCATCACTATTCCCCACTGGCTCCTCCCCCTGTATTTCTAACCCTTATCACCTATCCAAGTGCCTAGCGACCTGGTGAGAAAGCTTAGGTCTTTCTTGACGCCTCACAACCTGCAGTCACCAAGTCCTACAGACCACACCTTTCAGCATCTGTGGATGCCGTCTCTTCATGTCCTCTGCTGCCATGTGGTCTTGACCTTCAAGTCAAAGTTAAGCCATAACCTCATTTCCTCTCCCCAAGTCACCAGTTCTCTTTCTCCAGAACAAATCTAAGGCTAAAGCAGTATTTCTCAGTGTGGTTCTCAGACCTCCTGCAACAAGATTACTCTGGGCTGTTTATTCCTGATGAGAATACAGAAAATCTCTGGAAATGGGGCCGGGAGTCTGAATTTTAACAAGGCCCTCCAGGTCATCTCTATGCCTATTAGAGTTAAGAGAGTTGGTCAAAGGATTTGTCCCACACTCTTCAGCAGGCATTCAAGGCTCTTCCAACGGAACCCTAGTGTCTCTCTCCAGCCTCAGTTCCTACACTCCCCGCTCTCCTGGACAATTCCATTTCCTCCCCGTGTTGTCAATTCCAGGCCTCTGTTTTTGTTTCAGGCTGCTCTTTCCATTCCGTCTCCAAGGTAATGACATTCTTTACAGTCACACTCAAAAGGCTGCCGTATAGATACAGTCTCTGGTCTAGACCCAGTTAGACAGCAGACTCCTACAGCACTGAGCACCAATGCAGGACCAATACAGGCAAACCCTGCAGTCCAAACAGCTGACTGCCAAAGGAACCCAGCTAATTATGAAATGAAAATAGAAGAGTGAAAACTAAAAGATCAAGTTAGTATCGAAGGCAGAGAGACATTTAGTTGTGACAATTTTAGAAGCAGATCAACTCTGGCTACTCTGGGGTCTATTAAGTGTTATGGGAGTTATGTTAGTGAGTCACCTCTGTGTGTCCTCACACTCGACCTCCTGGCAGACACTTCCATCTGAAGGCTTCCTGGCCCCTCAAAGAATGTCCAACGTGATCTGGTGGTTCTTCTTAAAAGAGCCCCCGCCCTCCTGACCTCCTATCATGCTAATAGAGCCACCACCCTCCTAGGGGGTTTGGCGTCAGCCTTAGAAGAGGAGGTGAGGGGCCTCCCTGGTGGCGCAGTGCTTGAGAATCCACCTGTTGATGCAGGGGACACGGGTTCGAGCCCTGGTCCAGGAAGATCCCACGTGCCGTGGAGCGGCTGGGCCCGTGAGCCATGGCCGCTGAGCCTGTGCTCTAGAGCCCATGAGCCACAACTACTGAGCCCGCACGCCACAACTGCTGAAGCCCACGCGCCTAGAGCCAGTCCACAACAAGAGAAGCCCCTGCTCACTGCAACTAGAGAAAGCCCACGCGCAGCAACGAAGTCCCAACACAGCCAAAAATAAATTAATTTTTTTTAAAAAAAGAAGAGGAGGTGGAGGAGTCAGTAGCCAACGTCCGGGGCTTCCTCCTGTAAAACATGTCACCACTGACACCCAACTCAGTCCTTGCTGTCACCATGCCAGGCTCACCTGACAAGAACCAATATCTTACAATATTAGTTTGTTTCTCTAGTCATCTAAGAAGATGGTATGTCTTCTGCTTAGTCAAGTATTATATTTTCAGTTTTATAGCTTTTCCATAAAGTTCCTATTCACCAACATTTACTCCTAATTGCTTACTGTTGGCATGTAGTAAAACTATCAATTTCTGTATATTCTCTTTGTAGCCAGTCACCTTTTTGAACTAATTACTAGTTCTTAGTTCTTTTGAGATGTTGTATTTTTTTTAATATACAGTCGTATCTTCAAAAAAATAACTGTTTCTTCCTTCCCAATATTTATATAACTTGTCTCTCCATTTTGTAAGAAATCTAGGGCCTCCACAGTAACAATGAGTCACAGTGGGAACAGAGGCCTCCGCTTGGTTTCTAAATTTTTTCTTTGGGCTGCACCACACAGCTTGTAGGATCTCAGTTCCCCGACCAGGGACTGAACGTATGTTTCTGTCCTCTCCTTTGGGTGACAATACTCCCCAGATGGTTTTCTGTCTAACCTCTTCTCTGTTAAATTTAGTCTACGTACTCATATCATGAACCCTGTTTATGATATGCCTCATAAAATAAAATGAAACCTTCAACAGCTTTCTACTGGAAGCAAGCAAAGCTCTTCACTTGCACTCATGGCCCCACAGCAACTCCATCCTACCTTTCTAGCCTTATTAGTCCCCATCGCCCTCAGATACTGTATGGTCCCCCCATCATGTGCTATATACCCAGGAGCTACATGCTCTGTTAGAGCAGCAGGTCCTTGAAGACTGGACACACATCTTATTCATTTCTGTATTTATTACAATACCTAGTGTAACGATTTGCTGACCAAATGTTTTCTCTCTAAAAATCATTCATCAGCTCCTTAATCTAACATTAACTAGTGAATTCTCTATAACAAATGAATAAACATTTTATAATTCTATAACTAAAGGGGCTAATTACTCACTGTGATAAGGTCATCTCTCGCTCTGAGGACTTTGAGCCTCGCTTGATTCATCAAATTAGACATCTGACTGCAAAAGGCACAGAAAAGTAGTATCATTACAGCATAAAAAACAACCAACGTAGAGAAAGAAAGGTACAACCTCCTACATATGTGCAAACACTTCTCTTTGTACAGATCCCAAAGAGAACTCCCTGAAATACATGTAGCGGTTTTTATCCACTTATTTTCAAAGATAAGGAAATATTTATTGAATGCTTATGAAGTGGCAAGACTTTCTTATCAGTTATTTCAACTATATCTTTCAATAATCCTGTGAGCCTTCTGTTTTCCCAAATGAGGAAAGAGAAGTTAAGTAACTTGACCAAGGTTAGTTAATCAGTGAATGGTCCATTTCAGACCGGAACCCATAACTGCCTGGGCTCCAAAGCACCTGCTTTACCCTCTCGTCCCAGTGATTTTCAAAGCTCACATTTTCTTCTGCTGCTCAATCTGCTTTTCTTTCTTCTCGTAGTATTCCATAATCTTCAGTCTTTGGGTCTGCACAAGACGACCTTTCTCAATGTTGAACTCTTCTTCTGCCTACCGAGGAATTTATTATTATTACTTCATTATACAGATTTTGACAGTTTTATTTTAAGCAGCTGATGACCAGGGTAGTTGCTTATATTCACCTTATTCTATGTCTAGTATCCACTAACAAAGTTTCAATGAACAGAATCAGAAGATTCTGTGTATGAAAAAAATTATGTATTTTAAATTTGATCCATCTGTTTAATAGAGGGCTAATGAAAAGGACACAGAATTTGGAGTCAGAAGATATGAGTTACTGTCTAAAAAATTTGGTCAAGTAATCTGTCTAAGTGTCCTCCCTTATAAAATAAGAAAATAAAAATAGTATTCTTTCCTTTGTAGGTCAAAATCTAACAGTCCTTTTAAATTATAAACTACATAAATTTGAGTTATTAGTGTTATTAGTGTTAATTATTGAGCAGTCACTTTTTACAAAGGGTATCTTAGTGTATCAGCCATCTGTGATTTTCAGGCAGTAAGAAATTATGACTTTGGAAGCTAGCTAAAGTGACTGATTCAGATGTTTAATGCTTGGCACAGACACTGGAACTTTCAAATTCTAAAATAAATGCCTAACAGCTTGTTTCTATACCTATCACATGAGATAAGACTACTTTAAATAGAAATGCATTTACCAACTGAAATAGAAGTTCTGTATTTGTCCCAGAGAGAAATAAGGAAACTAGTCATACGAGAAACTGCAGTGCTCCTAAGGCCATCAAAACAATATTAAACAAGCAACAAGGACATACTGTACAGCACAGAGAAATACAGCCATTATTTTGTAATAACTTTAAATGGAGTATAATCTATAAAAATATTGACTCACTATGCCGTACACCTGAAATTAATATAATATTGTTAACCAACTATACTTCAATAAATATATAAAACAATACTCTCTCAACTGTTTTACTTCAGTGACAGGCAAAATAAGTCTTTTCTTTCTTAGATGATAAATTACTCAAACAGTTCAAAGGTTTAGTTTTGGCCCTAGGATACCAGGCACACACAATTTTAAGGCTTTACCGTTAAGTAACAAATGTAACCACTGTAGAATAAAGTAAAAGGACAGTGAAAATAAAGTATTAGGTGATATATTCTGACCTACCATGATTATACCTAGAGAAAAGAACAATTTTATATACTGTACAGAAACACTGTGCAACTCGAAATATCTGTAAAATTTCTAGATGCTGACTGCCGCCTTCGTGATGGACAGGGGCTTTCATTTTATGCCTTACATACACCAAACTGTGTATTTACCTTTTTGGCAGCAAGCACAAATAAAAAAGCAACATAACAATGAAAAAATACTACATCCTCCCCTGACCGGCTATCAATTAGCTGCGGTTGCTCAATGTCTGAGTTTGGATTCCATGAGAAAATTAATCCATCCCTTACTTTTCTACTCCCTACCATAAAATTTCAGGACACTTATTGACAATCAGAATTTTGGGACTTCACTGGCGGTCCAGTGGTTAGGACTCCATGCTTCCACTGCAGGGGGACAGGCTCGATCCCTGGCTGGGGAACTAAGATCCCGCGTGCCACGTGGCACAGGCAAAAAAATTAAAGAATGTTTAGAAAGGAAAATTTACTTTTAACGTTAAGGAAATTCTTACTGGTCCTATGCAATGAATGCTCTGTTAAACAATTTTACTAAGTACTAATTAGCAAAGCAAGACAGTACGAAACTTTGATAACTTCTTAAACCTAGCAAGTGGAATCTCACCTTTGCATCTATTTCTTCTGCTTTCTCATTGGCTTCTTGTTCAATAAAAGCCATCATGTGCTTAATCTAGAAGGAGAAGGAAAAGGTTACTTTTGAATATGACAAGAAAAAATATCTATGTTTTCTGATTCTTCCAACAATCATTTATGGAACGCCTTTCTGTTCTCAGGTAACTTACAATCTGGAATTTACTCCAGCAAATGGACCAGATGCAATATTCAACAACACAGGTAAATAGGCCATTATCCTACTCTCAAGGAACTTGGAGTCTATGGGGAGGAAGGACTGAATACACGTCCTCCTCTACTTCCGGCCTCCTTCAGCCAGACCGTCCTTCCCCCTTCTCCATTTCTACTGGAGTGTACCAGACAGCCTCCTACTCTCAAGGCACTCCAGCCTGACTCCCCTCCCCCTAACCCAGTGAAATCACTTGTAAGATGACGGCCATCTCGCCCTTATCTTACTGCATCTGCAGCGTCTCCTGGTACACTGACCACCACCCTTCTTGAGCACGTGCTTCCCTTTGCTCCCCCCACTTCCTTGCTCTCCTCCTTAGCCTCCTCTGAGGCCATATGCTTCTTCCTCCGCCTCCCAGACAGCTCCTTCAGGAGACCCTACCCACAGCAACTGAAATCCCACACGCTCCGTAAGGAACACTGATGGCTCTGCTCCCATGTCCCCCTTGACCTCTGCCTTGATGACCAGCACCAACAACAAGTAGTCCCCTCCCGTATCTCAGGCCCCAGGTCCAACCACCATGTCCTACGAGCTCTCTCTTCTAACACCTCTTTAATCTGTCCATCTCTCTCCACCTTCACAGCCACAATCTCATCTTTGCTATCATCATCTCCTGGCGGAATTACTGCAACAGCGTCCATATCTTCTCCGGGCCCTCAGTCTTGTTCCCTTGCTAACCAGCTGGCAACCAGGAAGATCCTTTACAAATGTCCCTCTCATCACGTACCACACCCCCCCTTAGGATAAAGTGCAGAGATTTTAGAAGGTCTGCCATGTGGTCACTGCTCATCTCTCCAGCATCACATGAAATGTAACCTCCACCACTGGCCACTCCTCAGACTCCTAGTTCCTGTCATCCTACATTTTTAAAAGTTAATTAATTAATTTTATTTTTGGCTGTGTTGGGTCTTCGTTGCTGCGCGCGGGCTTTCTAGTTGCGGCAAGCGGGGGCTACTCTTCGTTGCGGTGCACGGGCTTCTCATTGCGGTGGCTCCTCTTGCTGCGGAGCACGGGCTCTAGGCGTGCAGGCTTCAGTAGTTGTGGCATGCGGGCTCAGTAGTTGTGGCTCACAGGCTCTAGAGCGCAGGCTCAGTAGTTGTGGCGCACGGGCTTAGTCGCTCTGCGGCATGTGGGATCTTCCCGGACCAGGGCTCAAACCCACGTCCCCTGCGCTGGCAGGCGGATTCTTAACCATTGTGCCACCAAGGAGGTCCCCATGCTACTCTCATTTCAGGTTTTCAGTTCCTTGAGCTCGCCATTCTTTCCACTTTGGAGATTTCAAACATGCTGTTCCTTCCACTTGGAACACTCCCCCACCCCCAGCTCAGCTATCTTCTCGAGCCTCAGCCCGCTTAACTGTCACCTCCTTTGGAAAATCTCCTGACCCTCTCACTTATCTGCACCCAGGACACTGCACTTCTCCGCCTAAACACACAGTCCTAATTGCCTGCTTGCCTGTGCCTCTCCTCAACTAAACTATAAGGCTAGGAACTTGCTAAAGGGTTTTAGATCTCTGGCTACAATTGGAGAATGAAGTCCCCAAAGTCTTCTGAATGGGGCTTGGGGTGACTGATCTAATTTATATTCATAAACAGAGTACTGTCTCTAATGGCAGATGTAAAATATACCCAAATGAATATACAAGCAACAGAGCTAATCAAACTCACTGGTAGTTTCATTTCATAGGGGCTCTACCTGAAAGGAATAGTGAATTAAAAAGGAAAAAAAGCAGCTTAAAAAAATTTAATGTAGAGCCTCTAGGTTATTAACTCATTTCACATTAATTGTCCTGCATAAAGGTAAACACCACTGTAAACCCAGGACACGGGGTTAAGGGTTTACTTCCCCCACAGTAGGTGCTCAATAAACATTTGTGAATGAGTGAGAATCTGTTGGGAGTTTCAAGCCTTCTGAGGTACCCCAACTACTTTTTAGAGTCTGTACAAAAGTGAGTTAAGATTTGTTTCACAAGAATGTGAATATACTTAACACTACTAAATCATTCACTTAAAAATGGTTAAAAAGGCCCTGAGAAAACCATAATTCAAAAAGACACATGTACCCCAATGTTCATTGCAGCACTGTTTACAATAGCCAGGATGTGGAAAAAACCTAAATGTCCATCGACAGATGAATGGATAAAGAAGATGTGGTACATATATACAATGGAATAAAAAGGAACAAGATTGGGTCATCTGTAGAGACATGGATGGACCTAGAGTCTGTCATACAGAGTGAAGTAAGTCAGAAAGAGAAAAACAAATATCGCATATTAACGCGTATGTGTGGAATCTAGAAAGACAGTACAGATGAACCCATTTGCAGGGCAGGAATAGAAACGGAGATGTAGAGAATGGACATGTGAACACAGCGAGGGAAGGGGGGGTGGGATGAATTGGGAGATTAGGTTTGACATACATACACCACCACGTGTAAGACATAGCTAGTGGGGACCTGCTGTATAGCGCAGGGAGCTCAGCTTGGTGCTCTGTGGTGACCTAGATGGGGGTGGGTGGGAGGGAGGCCCAAGAGGGAGGGGATATGGGCATACGTACAGCTGATTCACTTCGTTGTGCAGCAGAAACTGACACAACGTTGTAAGGCAACTATGCTCCAAAAAATGGTTAAAAAGGTAAACTTCACGTAATGTGCTTTACACAATTAAAAAAAGTGAGTTAAGAATACAACCTAGGGACTTCCCTGATGGCGCAGTGGTTAAGAATCTGCTTGCCTGCCGATGCAGGGGACACGGCTTCGAGCCCATGATCCCACGTGCCGCGGAGCAACTAAGCCTGTGCACCACAACTACTGAGCCTGCGCTCTAGAGCCCGCGAGCCACAACCACTGAAGCCTGTGTGCCTAGAGCCCGTGCTCTGCAACAAGAGAAGCCGCTGCAATGAGAAGCCCACTCACTGCAACGAAGAGTAGCCTCCGCTCGCCGCAACTAGAAAAAAGCCCGCGTGCAGCAATGAAGACCCAACGCAGCCAAAACATAAATATATTTTAAAAAAAAAGGGAAAATAAAGAGCAGGTGCTTTGAAAGAAAAAAAAAAAGAATACAACCTCATGGCATCAAAGTCTTGAGGAAAACACACAGCACGGTTTTAGAAGGGAAGACTTATTTTTTGTCAAAATTCTTAGGAGCTCCCTACCAGTGAGGAGCCAAAATAATGACGACAATCAGAGCCCGTTTTATAGGTCATACAATACTTATAAAATCTCAAGCCTTGAAAAATTGGGGTGCCTAACCCAAATCTACACTGTTAAGAAAAACCACAGTGAACTTGCTAGATGGATCAACCTCCACACATCTGTGCCTGTGTGTGTGTTTCTGTTTGTGCTGTGGAATGGAATCGTCACAAGCTCAGATCAAACTCACACTGCACTGTCTGGAACTTTAAAAGTAGTTTAAAGACAGTAATCAACTCAGGTGCTTACAAATGCTACAAGACACTGGCCTCTAGAGGGGAGCCCTCATTCAAACCTGCATCACCTGCCTCTATCTCTCAGGCCGGACCCTCTGCTACCAGATCTGACGAGATCAGCACAGCCTAGAGCAAAACACGCTCATTGTAGCCCAGGTCACAGAAACCCGTTTACAGTCAACAAGAACACATTCTGCCTTCAGGAGTTCCAACAGGAGAAAAGTCAACCCCTTCGGGACATTTAACTCCACCCTTAAGGCAGAAAAATCTGCCCTTAAAATATACTTTTCTTCTTCCTGCTAAAGCTACTGGGTTCTACACTTCTGGAGTCAAGATTCTTTTGAAAGTTTGATGAAATAAATAACCATACTCCTCAGACAAAAAAAGCAACATACACAAATACTTTAATACAGGGGGGAAGAAATCAGGAAACCCAGGATTTCTTTTCCTTTTTACATTTAAGTATTAGTGTTTTATTTCCAGCACTCAAGTTCATCCTTAAGAAGATTTAGTAGATTCTAGGGGGCTCTTTTTAAATACATTACCTACTTGTGATGGAAGAACCAACAAGAACCAGCACTCCATTTCTGACGTATGTACACAATATACCTCCTATAGGAGACTGTTCGGTTTAGCACTCTTGGCAGCTCCGGTGCGATCTCACAGAGCGTCCTAGGGTTTCACTGACCCACACCTAATGGTGCCTGAAAAACATCTATGTTTCCCCCTTGTCTCAGGATCCATGGAAGTCTGCAGATTCTCCCAGCTCTAAAAGCAGTGATGTTTACAGAAATCAGCACTTTGCTTTACTGAAGCAGACATCTGACAGCAAAGAGAGTAACAAGATTTGACTTGACCCAAAGTGCATGAGGACTAAAGACAGTTTCACCATTCGGCTTTGCAATGTAGTTTCCAGAAATCAACTGTGATGAAAAGCAGGAAGTAACTATATTAAGATTTTACTAACTCCTAAAGAGCAGGAAGTTGAAGGAAACCCAGATTTCTAGACGTCTACTCGGTGCTCGATACTCAGGCCTGGTCACTGCCGGGAATACGCGGAAAACAGGCACCGCCCTGATGGGGACCGCGCGTAGCGTGGAGGAGTACAGACGATACATTTCCTCGTTCTTACTATTTTACAGAAAGAAAACGTGGTTCTGGCCTAGTTTCACTGCTTTACCTTTGCCGTGTATTCTAACTGGGGAAGCCCTAGTTTTCAATACATCACAAGGCGGAAAACGAAGGAGAAGAGGAGGACGAGAGCTGGTACTAGGGGTGTGACCGCTGGACTACGTGGAGCGCACTGCGTCCTTTTTCCTACAATAAAACTCAGACGCAGCGCTGATTAATGTTCAAAACCCGCGCTGTTCTGTAAGCATGCGGTAAGATTTCCTACAGTGCCGCACAGACGCTATTTTTGTTACCCTCCGTGATCAGCCTAAGATCCCCTAAACGGAAGAACCACCACGCTTCCGAGAGCATATCACCTGACGAATAAAGTGCAGAATCGTTTTAAAGGAACTGGAAACATCCAAGGAAAAAAACACCGTACTGCTCATCTAAGAAGGCTCACAAGGCACTGAGTGAGCGTTAGTCAGGGTTTTCCGAGAACTTCTGCCAGAAAGAGACGAGTTCTCTAAACTGCGGCCTGAGTGCCCTTCCCCGAAGTCCGGGCCTGGGCGGTCAACGCCCGCCGCCCGCGAACTCCAAAGCGCCGAGCAACGCCGCGACCCCAGGCCGGCCGCTCGCCCGCCAAGCCCGACGCGGCCCCGACCCGCACAGCCCCGAGGCGGGGTCCCGGGGACGGGGAGATCTGGCCAACGAGGCCGCCGCAGAGCTCCCCCAGGCCCGGGGCGGCATCCGCCCACCTCTCGGGGTCCAGGCCGGCGCTCACCTGCTTTTGCACGTCGGCATCGCTGAGGGCCATGGTGCAAGCGACGGGAGGCAGCGGGTGACCGGCCGAAGCTCAGAACCGACGCGGGCAGCGGGCGAACGGGAGACGAAAGCGAGACGCGCTTCCGACCTCTTCTGTTTTGTGAGCGCAGCTTCCGGTTCCTGCGCAGGTCGCCGGGCAGCCCAGCCAGTGGGGAGAGAGCGGCCCGGAAGTCACGCCCCTCCACGCCCCGCCTCGCCTCCTGTCGCTCACTCGTGACGTCTCGTGACCTCTCCCGGTCTTTTCCCCAGCAGCCCGCTCCGAGGCGCGAGGGAAGGTCTGTTGTCGTGCCCCTGACTTTAACTGAGACTTGTAGCCCTTGCGTTTTTTAAAAAAGTTTACTTCTGCCAACCAGAATTTGTTTTACTTTCCTGGCCCTAATGGAAGCAAATGCGTCAATATTTTACTTATTAACAGGTTTTATATTTAGAGCAGCTTTACATTTACGGGGAATTGAGCTCAGGTTCCCATATTGTTAGCCTCCTCCCTTTCTGGGGTACATTTGTTATATTTCATTAACCGAGGCTAATGTGTTGACAAAAGCCCACAGTTTAACCAATTTCCTTAGTTTCCCTCTGTTGCGGAAATTCGGCCTCTGTACGCCAGTGCCGGATTGTATCTTGGAGACGGAGTTTTGGGTGAAGTAGAAAACAATAGTTTTATTGCTTTGCCAGGCACAGGGGGCCACGGCAGGCTAATGCCCTCAAAACAGTGTGTCCCACCTGGAGGGGGTGGTGAGGAGTCTTACAGTGTTCCAGGAACAGGGCATGATTAGCTCGTGGAGCTTCTTCTGATTGGTTGCTGGTGAGGTAATCGGGAATCAGCATCATCAACCTTCTAGTTCCAACCGGTCTCAGGCCTGTGTGCTGTGGGCAGCGAGCAGCTAACGTCTCCCACCTGGTGGGGGCTTCAGTGTCTGCAGAACAGCTGGAAGGACCCGACTGAGAACATTAACTGTATAGCCCTGAGGGAGAGCTAAAGGTCCTGACTGTGTAATGGCTAACGTATTATTATTTTGGCTTGCTTGACTGCTTGCCTTTCTGCATTTTCCCACTTGTCTGATTAAATGTATTCCTTGACTGAAGTTTTTCTGCAGACAAAGGGCAGGCAGAAGACATGGGTGAGGGTCTATTCTGGGAAGGCCTCACGGGGTCCTGCTCAGTGACACCCCTGATGCCCTTTTCCTGTTACAGGACCCCAGCCCGGTTACCACCTTTCATTTAGTTGACGTGTCTCGTAAGTTCTTCTTGGGGGTGACAGTTGCTCAAACTTCCCTCTTTGTTGACCTTGACAGTTTGAGGGATACTGTTAGGTATATTATAGATGCACCTCTGGGGATCTTCACATAATTGGTCAGGGGTTGTGGGTTTTGGGGAGGGAAAGCCATTTTCATCACATCACATCAAGGGTTCATGCTGTCAGCCTGGTTTCTGACTGTTGCTGTTGACCGTGATCACTTGGCTGAAGCAGTGCTTGTCAGGTTTCTCCACTGTAAAGTTACTCTTTTTTTCCCCTTTCCATACTTTACTCTTTGGAAAGATGTACTATGTGCAGCCCACACTTAAGGAGTGAGGAGGTATGCTCCACGTTCTTTAGGGTGGACTACCTACAGAATTTATTTGTAATTCTGAATGAGCATGTGAATTTTTCAACATCATTACCAGGATCCATTTACAGAAAATTATTCAGAAAATTAAGGGAGAAATTCGAGCCCACGTTTTATAAAGAAAAAATACTTTGAAAACTTATTTTGAGGATAGATTCCTAATAATAGAATTATGGGCCAAAGGGTACACACATTTTTATTACTAGCTTCTTATTTTGAATTTCAAATACAAGTTGTAAGAATAGTGCAATAAACTCGCATCGCCTAGACTCACCAACTATTAATATTTTTGCTATATTTATCACCTGTATATATATAAAATCGCATGAGTCGATAAACAGTTCAGTGTGTGTTTCATGAGACTAAGGGTGTATATCAGTCAAATTCAGGAAATTTAGTAAGTCCATATTCAAATTTTGCCATATGTTCCATTAGTATTCCTCGTAGCAATATTTTCTTTTCTGATCCAGGATCCAATCCAACATCACCTATTGTATTAATTACCTTGTCTTTTTAGTCTCCTTTAATACGGAATAGTTCCTCAAACTTTGTCTTTCCTGATACTGACGTTTCTAAAGAGTACTAGTCATTTGAATTGGCCAGTTGTAGAAAGTCCCTCAATTGGGTTTCATCTGATAGTTTCCTCATAATTACATTCAGGTGCTGCATTACAGGAGAAGTACATGTGTGATATCGTGTCCTCAGTGCATTGCATGTCCTTTTAATGGGAATGGCACACCCATTTTTAAGGCTCTTAATACAGATGCCAAATTATTGTCCAGCTGTGCTAGTGGACACTGTTCTTTGTAGCGTATGACAAGTTGGTACACATATTTGAGAAAAGTGGTGGTGTTGGATAGGGAAGGGTTCAGCCACAAAACAGTAAACCTAACAGGGCGACAGAAATCCATGCATTTGATCGCAATTTGATCGGTAGTCTAATCAACTGAACCAGATGGTAGGCTTGTTTCTCTCATCTAACTAGTTTTTGCACTAATGATTTCATTCATCATCCCAGAAGACAGGCATGTGCATGCCTCCAGCAAGCTAGGTCAGGATGAGGTGGTGTTCACTCGTCTGGATTACAGTCCTTCCTCCCGTTTATTTATTTTTGGCTGCACCGTACAGCATGCAGAATTTCCCCGACCAGGGATCAAACCCATGCCCCCTGCAGTGGAAGCGTGGACTCTTAACCACTGGACCGCCAGGGAAGTCCTCCTCCTGTTTATTTTTACAGTGTTCTGCAAATATCTGAGGCTGAAGACTGGGAGCCTCAATCTAATACATGTCTAATCACTTATGAAAACAATGTCTGGAAGAGATGTGATACTATCCAGAGATCAATGTGCTTCTGCTTCTTTGGAAAACAGTGCTGATTTTTATGATTTATCATTATTTTCAGACATTAAAAAATACAGCAAAGTACAAAGAATTCAAATGTCTATGTACCATGTACCACCACCCAGAGTTGACAATGAACATTTGTCACATCTGCCTTAGGACTTCATTTTTTAAATACAAGAGTGTTACAGGCACACTTAACATCGCCTTTTGTGCTGCTTCCCTCTCCCCCATGCCAGCGCTCTTACAACTGCTTTCTGCAGTATTCTGCTGACTCACCGAGGAACAGGCCAGGTGCTATCTGGTAAGAACGTGGTAAGCTTCACAGAGTGAAGCACAACTGAAAAAGTTATCATGAGCCCATGCAAAGATTAACTAGTTAGTAGTTTTCCGAATCCAATTTCCTCCTATACTAGCTTAGGTCTTGTGAAGAAGTTTTACTAAAACAGCTTTTCAGAGAAATTCCGAAAATCCCACTCCCTGATAAGCCTGTTGACTATGGCTTCACCAAAACTGCCGACCTAAATTCCTTTCAGGTTAGTCACTTAAGAGAAGGTTTGCGTGCTCCTGGATTTACCTGCTCCCAAGCTAAGGCCTCAGTCTGTGGTTTATTTGGAAACTGAGTCACTAGAATAGATAAGGTAAGGCTTCAATTTGTCTGCTGGGGAGTGCAGAAACTGGAGGTAGATGAAAAGCATGTCTTTGAATGTTGAGGAATTAATTTTTAAAAGAAAAGACAAATGGTGGCAGAAAGCAGTGGAAGTCTCCCTTACGTGCTTTGCACTTTTTAGCCTTTTCCAACCAGTTTTCCGCACAGCAGAAAGTAATTTAAAACCTAGCTGGTCTCTAATCACTCCCTAATTTGTAACCCCTGGTGGCTCCTGTGTGCTCTGGAGGAGCTGGCCCTGCCCATTGACCTCATCACTCCTCCCTTTCTCACCAGCTCCAAGCTTTACTGGTTTGTTCTCTAGCTTTTTGCCTGAGATCTTTTCCTGCACTTGCCCCTTGGGTTGTTCTTCAGTCTTTAGGTCTCAACTTAAAATATCCCCTCCTTGGAGAGAGGTTTGCATCAACACCCTGTCACCTTAATCTTCTACTCTTGTCCCTTGTTTGTTTACTTCAGGACATGCCACAATTTTAAACTACTTTGTTTTTTTTCGTTTCATTTCTATGTTCTTATCTGGTTTTCCAACGAAAACGTCAGCTTCACAAGAGGGACGTCATGGTTTTTGCCGGCATCCAGCATACTGCCCGGTACATACATACTAGGCATTCAATAACTGATGAATGAGAATGAGTGGAATCTAGAGTTTAGATTTTATTATCACATTAGGCTACAGTCTAGGTCTCTGTGTCACTCATAAGATCCGTCAGAAAAAAAAAAACAACCCCAAAACCCACGAACTGCTTGTGATTAAGTTTTGTAAAAGCATTATATATTTTACACCATTTGCTGAAGAGACTATCTCTTTCCTCATTGAATTGTCTCTGTTGAAAATCAGTGGACCATTCTGAAGTTTCTATTCTGTTCCATTGGGCCATATGCTATCCTTGTGGTATTTATTCAAAAAATTAAAAAAGGGGGAAAAAGCAAACCCTAAAACTGAAAGCAATCTGAAATTTACTTAACCATATATCAAATTGGCAACCTAACTACACAGAATTATTCCGTATGACTTTTTTTTTTGGAATTTACATACAATGAACTGCATAGACCTACAAAGTACAATTAGATGAGTTCCGACACCTGTGTGATCACCACAATAGACTAATTCCATCACCCTAGAGAGAAAGCTCTTTTCTAGTCAATCCCACACTCCCAGTCGACAGTGCTGATTTCTATAACCATTGATTAATTTTGCCTGTTCCTGAAATTCATATAAACCACACAGTAGGTACATTTTTATGTCTGGCTTCTTTGACTCAACGCTTTTGAGATTAATCCATATGGTCACATGTAACAACGGTCAGCTTCTCTTTTATTGCTAATTTCCATTGTATAATTCAAAAAGTCAACTTTTTAAAAATTAAGACTAGAAGACTGTTAAAAGATTTAACAACCAAATGCAATGCATGATCCTGGTTTAAATCAAAAACTATATGGAATCTAAAAAAAAAAGGTTCTGATGAACCCAGGGGCAGGACGGGAACAAAGACGCAGACATAGAGAATGGACTTGAGGACACGGGGAGGGGGAAGGGTAAGCTGGGACGACGTGAGAGAGTAAGATTGACATATATACACTACCAAATGTAAAACAGATAGCTAGTGGGAAGCAGCTTCACAGCACTGGGAGATCAGCTCGGTGCTTTGGGACCACCTAGAGGGGAGGGATAGGGAGGGTGGGAGGAGGGAGACAAGAGGGAGGGGATATGGGGATATATGTATACGTATAGCTGATTCACTTTGTTATACAGCAGAAACTAACACACCATTGTGAAGCAATTATACTCCAATAAAGATGTTAAAAAAAACTATAAGAGCCATTACTTGGAGAATCGGGGGGATTTAATATGGCCTGGTTAATAGGTACTATTAGGGAACTATTGATAGTTTTCTTAGCTCACTAAGTCTCTCCTTGGCAAATCTGTCCGATTTCACTATGAACAGCACCACCCGAGTTCTCAGTCACTCGGGCCCAAAGCCTCGGAGCTCCAACCTTCTTTCGGATTCCGCCACCCACCCTCATTATCAGTTCAGGTTTTTATCACTTCTTTTTTCACGGCTGTATTGAGATATTCACCTTTTTGAAATGTACAACGGAGTATAATTAAATGGCTTCAAGTGACTGTATTCACAAAGCTGCGCAACCACCAGCACAATCACCCTGAGAACATCTTCGTCACCCCAGAAAGAACCCTTGACCCCACTAGCAGGCACTGCCCATCGGCCTTTTGTCCTCAGGCAGCCTTCAGCTCCTCCGCCCGACCACGTCAGGCGCCCGGACACAGTGGCTCCTCCAGGGCGCGGTGGAGACACCGCCCCGCCTCCCAGTGGCAGCTGCAGATGCGTTCCTTCCTCGCTGCGCTACGGCGCCCCGCTCCCCCGCCCGCTCCGTACCCTCAAGGCCCAGCCCCCCACCCGGCGCTGCGGCGCCGCAGCTCCCGGGACTCCACGCTCGGTCAGCCGGCTCGCCTACAGCTCCTCCGGCGAGCGTCGCCAGCCTCCGCACCCACGACGGTGGGCCCGTCCGAGTCCGCCTCTTTCCCAGCGGTCCCCGGCCGCCGCCGCCCGGAACCATAGAGCTGCTCCCCAAGAGGCGAGCAGGCCGGGAGAGAGCGGCTCTTCCGGCTCACACCTGCGCCAAGAGGCCTCCGGGACTCCGTGGTCAGGGCTTCCTCTTGGAAAGGCGGATCCGCCCTGGCGGCGCGCCCGGCTCCCCGCCCCGACGCCGGCGCTGACGGAAGCACGCCGGGTGACCTCACCCGCCAACATGGCGGCGGCGGTAGATTAGGACCGCGGGTCGGAGCCGCCGCCGCCACCGCCACCGCCACCGCCACCGCCGCTGTGGGATCCTGTGCGGAGCCGCCGCCGCCGCCGCCGCCGCCGCCGCGTTTTCACCTCTTCGGGGACACGGGCCTGGACCAGGTGAGGGGAGCGGGGTTCCGGGCAGGCCTTGCCGGGCCCTTTCCCAGCTTCGCCCGAGGCGTCCCGAGGCCGACGCGGGAGATGGGGGGCAGTGAGAGGCTGAGGGCGCGAGGCCGTTCCGCTGCCCCTCAGACGCGTCCGGGCGCGGGTCGGCGGGCGTGGGCCTCGGGCGAGGGGTGCGTGCGCGGGGCTCGCGGCCTGGGTCCCCGCCAGCCGGCCGCGCCGCGGCTTCAACCCAAGGTTCCCGGTGCCCCTCCCGGCGGCTCCGACGCCGCTGTCATTGCTGTTGCTATTATTTCACGTGTTCGTTTTTGCCACCCTTAGAGGAGGCACGGTTCGCGCTAGGTCGTTTCTTCCTTTGGTCTTTCTTCCACCATCCCAGGCCGACCCCGAGTGTCTCTCCTTCGTGCCGGGACTTTCCGAGATGGGGCTTCCCCGCTGGGAGCCGGGGCCTCGGGCCCGCTGTCTTGGGCCCTGGCCGCCGCCCTGCGGAGTCGGCCCGATGCCCGCACGAGCGCGCGGTTACCCGTGCAGCCAGCGCCCGGTTTCTGTACAAGTTCTTAACGAAACTGACGGTCTCCCCTCTCCCCTGTTTCTTTGCGACGTGGGGCAAAACAAGCAAGTCCTCCAGCGAAACTGTCAGTGCGATTTCCCCGGGAGGTTTGGTGTAAACCAGAATGCTGGTCTCTGCCCTGACTGGTGTGACCTTGGGTGGGTTGCCACACCCTTCTAGTACCTTCTTGTCTTCAGTCTCCCAGAAAATTAAGCAAGTGTTCGTGTAGGTGGTGAACTGCTTATACCTCACGTACATCGCGGGATAAATAAATGTACACTGTAAATTGAAAATCTTTAAACCACTATGGAATATTCTTCGTTTGATAATAGGCCGTTAGGGACTTTGATAATTCTTTTACTCTGATTGGTCAAGTACCATTCTCAGTATTTTTTTTTTTTCCAAAGGATGGATTTTCTTACGGAGGACCGTACCCCAGTAATTGAGTTCGGTTGAGGGATACAGACGGTTGAGTCCAAGGCGTTTTGTAGAGAAAAGATGCTCGTTAGCCCGTCAGTTAGTCAATATTTACTACATATCTTGCTCAGCTTTTAGGACAAGTGATTTGCAACAATAAGTATTGTTTTAAGAACATGTTTCTCTTATGAAACATTTTAGACATACAAAGCAGCAGTTTTAACCAATCACAGTACCACCATCCTGCTTTTTAATCATAGTTTTTTCAAACTTGATTTTGATGCATATGTTATTCCAAATAAGTGGTCACCAAGAGTTCTTTTTTGTTTTGGCTGCTCTGCTCAGCATGCGGGATCTTTGTTCCCGGACCAGGAATGGAACCCCCGCCCCCTGCCATGGAAGCACAGTCTTAACCACTGGACCGCCAGGGAATTCCCAAGCGTTCTTTTTTTTTTTTTTAACATATTTATTTATTTGTCTGTTTAAGGTGTGCTAAGTCTTAGTTGCGGCACGTGGACTTCTTAGTTGCAGCATGCATGCGGGATCTAGTTCCCCGACCAGGGATGGAACCAGGCACCCTGCAATGGGAGCACAGAGTCTTAACCACTGCGACACCAGGGAAGTCCCCCCCCAAGAGTTTTGTTTTTTTTTTTAAATTAATTAATTTATGGCTGTATTGGGTCTTCGTTGCTGCATGCGGGCTTTCTCTAGTTGCGGCGAGCAGGGGCTACTCTTCGTTGGGGTGCGTGGGCTTCTCATTGTGGTGGCTTCTCTTGCGGAGCACGGACTCTAGGCACGCGGGCTCAGTAGTTGTGGCTCGTGGGCTCTAGAGTGCAGGCTCAGTAGTTGTGGTTCACGGGCTTAGTTGCTCCGTGGCATGTGGGATCTTCCTGGACCAGGGCTCGAACCCGTGTCCCCTGCATTGGCAGGCGATTCTTAAGCACTGCGCCACCAGGGAAGCCCAAGAGTTCTTAATTAATATATGTTAACAGGGTTGAAGGAAGGGGGCTATTTTCAGAGTTGCTGATTTTTTTTTTAAGTAGTGTTTTATTGAGATACCATTAAGTTGTTCACATGTGTAGTCACAGAGTGTGCACCTATCACTGCAGTTTTCATTCCCGAAAGAAACCTTGTACTCATTAGCAGTCATTCTTTATTCCCACACTCCCCCACCTAGGCAGCCACTGTTTTACTTCTCTGTAGATCCCCCAGTTCTGGATATTTCATATGAACAGAATTATACAATATGTGGTCTTTTGTGACTGGCTTTTACCTCCATGTTGTAGCAGGTAGTGGCATTTCTTTCCTTTTTATGGCCACATAATGTTGCATTGTATGAATAGACTACGTTTTTAAAATTCATCAGTTGACGGGCAGTTACTTCCACTGTTTGGCTGTTATACGTAATGCTGCTGTGACCATTCATGTGAACGTTTTTGCATAGACAATGTGTTTTCATTTCCCTGTGGCACATACGTAGGAGTGGAACAGAGAAATTGACTTTCATGTTTCCCTTTTATGTGCGTTATCTACTCACATATGGGAAGCCTGACTATGTGTTTGTGGGGAGAGTGAGAGTGAGGCATTCCTCTTTAAGTACATTATGTTGGAGTGCCAGCTGCTGAATGGAAACATTTTTGGACGGCCCTTAGCACAGGATTGAACTGGCGTCTTCAGTTAGGCACGTTCCAGTTGGAAAGGGACAGTGGACACTGAAATAGTTAGTGTCTGCTGAGTTTTCAAATGCTTAGTTGCATTTCTCAGTTGGACCCAGTGAAATTTTTACAGTTTCACAATTTTAATTAGGATTATGTAACTTTTCTTTTGCAGAAAGTCCTAGAATTGTATGATACCTAATAAAGTACAGATTGAAGAAATAAAGTCATTGGACTTCATGCTACTTCGTGGAGCTTAAAAATTCTTTGCTAAAACCACCAGTGGGTCTGGAGACTGGGATCGGGGAATCAAAAACTTTGTCCGTGCTTAAAACTCCAGAGTTTTCATTTGTGACTGAATTATCTGTGGATTTTCACTTTTCTCTTTGTAAACTGGGATTGTATATCTACTCAACTCCACATTATTGCAGTATTTAACAATCTTATTACAATTTTATTTTAGTGGGAGGAGATAGTCTAAATACAAAGCTTCTTGAAATAATTACATCATGTTAGATTGTAGTATTTTTCTGCTGTGGTTCTATGGGGTTAAGAAATAGAATATAGGTATGATATTCTAAGTTAGTATTTCTGATGTGGGTGCTAGAAATTTGTTTTTTTGTTTTTTTTGCGGTACGCGGGCCTCTCACTGCCGTGGCCTCTCCCGTTGTAGAGCACAGGCTCCGGAGGCGCAGGCTCAGCGGCCATGGCTCCCGGGCCCAGCCGCTCCGCGGCATGTGGGATCCTCCCTGATCGGGGCACGAACCCGTGTCCCCTGCATCGGCAGGCGGACTCTCAACCACTGCGCCACCAGGGAAGCCCTAGAAATTTGTTTTTAATAGCCTCCAAGATGATTATGATCAGACAAGGTTGGGAAACAACTACAAAAAACTCATGTTGCTGCGGATTTGCTTTTCATAAGAATTTAAAGTAGAATGTAATAGTTGCTGTATACCTTCTGGTTACCGTTCATAAAATGTGCCTAATTCCCACAGTACTATCTATTAACATCCTGGGATTTGCACTGGTACTCAGAATAGAAATCTGGTTTTAAAAAAAGACGATTTATTGTAAGATTGTGGCTATTACATTTGTTACTGAAGGATCGTGGATGTTTCGGAGATGCCACCAAATGGATGTATAAACACAGGATTAAGTTACCCAGAGCTTCGTCAGGCTGTCCATCTGGCTGACAGCTACCTGTAACTTGAGAGAAGAGCAAATTAAAGGTGTAAGGCAGAGAAAGAAACAGCTGGGTAACACAGCTGTATTCAGTAGGTTGTTAGAATTGTGTAAAAAGCAGGAGTTTTTATATTGAAGATCACTCTTGTATTTAATCACTTCTTGATACCGAGAACACTTATACCTAATTTGAATTCTGTAGGGTTCTAGATAAAATTTAAAGAGTAAAAGTAGCTATGTCTTTTTCATCATTTAAAAGGAAGCTTGAGCTGTCTTAGGCATGAAATGTCCTCTGGTTGGTGAGTAAGTAGTGGGGTGGACCTGAGCCTGGTCCCCTGCTTCCAGGAAAGCTCTGGGTGGTGGTCTCAGATCATATTTACTTTTTCTTTAACCTGTCTTTTTCCTTTTTGCCCCCCTGTCCCGTTCTGAAAATTGACAAATTTGCTTCTTTTGGTATTGTGGGTGTCTGATATTTGGGAAATTGCCTTGTTTTTCTACCATTTTTTCCTGTTATCATTAGTGTTAGTGTTTCCACCTCTGTGTTCCTCTCACCCAGCACGTTGCCTGGCTTGCAGGAGATGTGTATTGAATGAATACAGTTAAGGCCTAAGAGTTCGGAGCGGAAGAGGATGTACTCAACCAAGTGGTTGCACTGTTAACTAGCTGTTACGATTTTGGGCAAATAAATTGTCTATTCTTGTTTGTCCATCAATAAAGTTGAGACTGTTATCTTTTCCTTCTGGTGTGCAGGATTACTGTGACAACACGTGGAAAAGTGCTTCAGAAATAGAGGTCTCGTGCAGAGGTGATTTATTTATGGTATCTTATAGAAATGCAAGAGCTCTTTGTGCAATATGCAGATTAGTCACCACCGAGTATGCAGAGGGAGTGATGCCCTCTCTCCCCAGAATACCCTGCAGCAGTGCTGCAGAGTTCACACTTGGCATATTTTCAGTGCCTTTGAGAAATTGTAATTTAATACAAATGCACGAGACCTGTGATAGCATTTCTTTCTGTTTATTTATTTTAATTGAAGTATAGTTGATGTACAATGTTGTATGTTACAGTTGTACAACATAGTGATTCACAGTTTTTAAAGGTTATAGTTCATTTATAGCTATCATAAAATACTGGCTATATTCCCTGTGTTGTAGACACATAGTAGTGTTTCTGAGGTCTGCCTGCCCCATCAC